TTTGTGATTTGCCAAAACTGTTAATAGGTGGTATGATAAAAACTTCTATACAAGTTCCAAAAACTCTAAGCCCTGAACTACAGTTTTCCAAAATTGTCCTGGCTTAACAAAATAACCTTTCTGGGAAAACATAACATACTAAGAATAAATATTTAACACATAAAATTGCAGTGATTTTCAGTTTGGTATAAACTGTTTTACTTTTGGGAAGTACAATGGCAACCTGCAGCACTTTTCTCCCTTCCTCTTGATCATATAACTATTCCATGCTGATTCTCAGCAGTTAACTCTGTTGTGTTATCATGCAAAAATCACCCTTGAATAGTGGCTGCTAACTGATATTAGAAGCAATATGTGCATCAGCTATAAAGTGCCAGAGGAGCATCCTGTCCCTGTGAATCACGATAGCTAGCTTTATTATTTAAGAATATTTAGCAGAGAGATCAACACTGCTGAAGTCCTCCAACTGTCTTCACATAAATCATTCCTAGAATTAGGAGTCTGGGAATTCACTAGCTGACTAGGCAGTTCACCAATACAGACCCAAATACAGGGGAATTACTGAGGTAAGTGCAGGCTGAAAGAAAAAACTAGAAAAGAACCAGATCCTGCCAGGCTGCAATTTCAGTGAGAAGGGAAGGTCTTCAGCCCAACCCAGGATTGCACCTCATTGCTGTGCATATTTACTCTGTGCTACCAAACATACAGATTAGAAATATTCAAGAAAAAAGCCAAGACCGGTACATTTGCCTAAGCTCTCACAAAATCAGCTGTGAATGTCATATCCAGTCAGTGAGTGTTTGTGACTGATGAAAACACACCTCCCACTTTTGAGAAACTCTCCCTTGTACAGTCAGGTGTCAAAGAGGAGCGCTACACAAATGCAATGGTTGCTTCATGCTACCAGCTGCAAGAACAAAATCTCCCAGTGAAACCTAAATGTGGAAAAGCACAACACCACCTGAACTAGCATCCACACGGTAAGTATCATGATCACAGTGGCTGTACTAACTCTTCTGCTGCTGAAGCAGACAGCATACGGGTCTACAAGTCTAACACACAGAGCTAGATTGCACAGACCTACTCATTTTAACCCTTAATAGAAGCCTACTTCAACTGAATGCCTTGCACTTTGAAAAACATTCTTCACATGAATATTTATTTCTGTCACATATTTTATTTCTACATTGCATTTCAGGTTGTCCAAAAGGCAGTAATTGAAGTGGATGAAGAAGGAACTGAGGCCACAGCAGCTACTGGGTCAGAAATAACTGCATTCACAGTGCCTCCTGTCATCAAAGTGGACCGACCGTTCCTTTTTATGATTTTTGAAGAAACTTTTAAAACATTACTCTTCATTGGCAGGGTGGTTGATCCAACAGAAATGTGAATAAAGGTATCAGTTTCTATTCTGGGGTATGTAAGAGTCTTTATTTCTATTTTATTAATTTACATTAGAATAAAAGGACAGGGAAATATGGAAGTATGAAAACCTGTTTTATCTCTCCAGCTAGCAGTAGGTCATTCTAGTAATACTTTATTAACGCCTAAGTAACAAGCTAAATTCACTAAAGCACAAAGTGACAAAAATGTGTCTTGTAAAACATAGTCTGCAAATTTAAAAAAAAACACAACACAGAACTGAACTTTCAAAATTCAGCATTTTAGTGATAAGTCTGAGTGAAAACCAGAGATTCATAAGCCAAAATATTAAGGAATTTCATTCCCAAACACTGCAGCTTGATATTCCTCAATGTTATCTTCTGTTGCAATGAGACTTAAGAGCCTACTGACCTCAATGTTAGCAGAATTTTGCCACTTGTAAAAACAGAAGCAGGATCAAGCCCTAAAAGAGAATTTACAGCCTTTGTCTAGAGATCTTTATTTTATTACTGTAGAAATGCACTGAGTCTATCATGAAGTCTGCATCATCTGGAGTGTGACCTCTTTCAAAGTATTTATTCAGATTATCAAATCACCTCCTCTTCTCAGCGTACATGATATGCCTGCTTTTAAAATATTCTTTCTATTAAAGACAAAATAATTCTGCAAATTAACTCAGGTATTCTGAACCTGAAAAATCTGAACCTGTACTACTTCATAACATCAAGCTGGGCCTTTCCTAAAACCAGAATTTCTGCATGTATTATGACCTAGATGTCAGGGTGAACTACGTAACAGGACTCTATGCCTGAAGTAAGAAAGACTTTGGTAGGAAAAAACCATACCTCCATAAAAGTGGAATAAATCTTTTCACAGAGTTGATCTAAAATCCAGAAGGTATTGCCAAAATGTTTCAGAAAAATATTTCCGTGATCTAAATACAATTCATTTTATTCAAGTAGTGCAGCGATTCCAACAGAACAGCAAGATCTTGAACATTTAGTAAATTTCAGTCAGCAGCAGTCCTATACATAAAGTATGAAACAATGCAAAAAGGCTACTTCTAGCTATCTATAACAGATCTAAGCATTACTCTACTTGCTCATACAGCCTTCATAAAATAGCTGTCCAAAAGGGGGCAGAAGAGTTTTCAAAATGATTTGGCATGGAAGCTTTAAAGGTATCTATCAGTAAATGCACATAGACAGATGCATCCACAAGAGAAGATACAAAAGGTACTTTACAGGGTACAGGCTGGTAAACATCTCTAAAAAACACTTCAGTTACCATTAGATGTCTACCCACAGCAACGCAGACACTAGTGTAAGCCACTAACAAAAGGATTTAGCAGGCAGACTTTGGTATCTGACTAGACTACAAAGGTGCATCTAACCTAACTCCACATTGCAGTATGAATGTACCCAGAAAGAAAGAGAATCACTCCTTCCTGCCTCCGAATGATTAATAGGAGGAATGTTGTTATAGAGAATGACCCAATTATCATTGTACAGTTGACCTCCAGCTGTTATTCTGAATTGCAAGTAGAAACAATGCTACAAAGGGTTCAAAAGTATTGGTGCTGTCCAACAGAAGTAACCCAGGAGTAAGCACCCCCACAAAAGATTGCTGGGATGAAGGTCTGTAGTGTGAAGGACTGATGAAAGTATACACGAGACACCAGGAATACTGAACAAGGAAGATGTGCAGACCAAAAAATGTCTAAACAGAGCATTTAAAGATTACATAGCAGGAATTTAATACATAGTAGAGTTATTGAGCGGAGCACGTGTTATCAGCATTAAATAAAATAATCAGTTAAAAAAGACAGACAAATGACAGCCAATAAGAAACAAATGACAGACTGTATACAGAACTCATTACATGCTTATTAAGGGGAGGAATAGCTTGGATTCGAACTTCTGAACTTACTGTTTTTTCTAGTAAAGTTATCTGAGGGTCAAACACAGTTTTGAGTTCTGTTCTGCAGCTGGGTACTGCTGATCTGAGTTTGGTCCCTGGCAGAAGTCAGACTGAGAACAGTGAGAAGTCTCCTGTGGCCCGTGGGCGAGCAGCTGTAGCTGGCACGTAGAGTTAGTTGTCCCTGGGGAACTGGGAGTATCTGCTTTCACTAATGAGACAAAAGCAGAACCTGGGAGGAGCCAGCATAGGTCATCTGTATATCTGCATCAATATTGCATGTTAAACATCATATTACTTGAAGAAGCTTTTCAAGAAATCTGTGATTTACAAGGTCCTACGCCAGGCTGCAGAACAAACTGAAAACCTGAGTGTTTCCACAGAATCCAAACAATGTCCGTGACTAAAGACAGAGAACACACCTGAATCCAAGTGCAGCGTAAGCAGCTTAGGAATTCAGACAGTAGAACACTGCTAAATCCAAGACACATTTTGTACTTCACACATGACAGCACACATCTAGCATTATAACTATTTAAAATAAATACCTTCTATAGGTAATTGTTTATTTGAATTATAAAAGATGCCCTGAGAATTTTTTTTTTTCAAGAACATGCATGTACAGCACTGTCCTAGGTTTTGAGTAAATCATCATTCATATTTTTACATTATAAAAAGTAACCACACACGCATATGCATTCACAGATCAGATCATCTTTATCATACACCAATAAATTTTAAAAACCACATATTTCTGATACCAACATACTTATGCTGCTTCCATTTTGAAATAGAGAAGCTGACAATAGCTTCATAGGCTCTCTCTCAAGTCTTGGCATAAATAGAACTTTTTAAAATAGAATTGCATGTTTTTCCACAGACAAATTTTGATAGAAACATTAGCATTAATACAAACAAATGCAGATGACATCACTGAAGCATGACAGCTTGCAATAGCAGCTGATTAAAAACTAGATTCATCATTATAAATTATTCAAGTGAAAATACAATCTGAAATACTAAAAATTAAAACAAGTATTTATACAACAAAACTTATGAAATAAAACTTTTTTTTTTACAGCATCTGGAGACATCTGCTTTTAGATTGCTTTGAAACTTACACACGATTTTTATGAACTTTACTTAGTACTTGTAAAAACATTACCTCCAAATTCACAGCACAATGCTACTGAAGTTTACAGTTTTTTATAGACTGATCAATGATTCTGGCCTTTGGTCTTAAATTAGGTTTGAAGGTTCTTTATAATGTGGGATTACTTTTTCATATTCAGAACAATTCCTTCTATTTCTTGCATAAAACATGGGTGTTAAGAATTGCTAAAATTGTAAATAAGCCAATTAAGTAATGGATATGTGCATTCTAAACCCAAGAATTGGAACTATAAAGGCATAATTGAAGAAAACAAAATCCTCTCTTTCGCTGCAGCAGTTAAGAGCACATAGCTGAAGTTGTATTTAATAACATTTCACTACAATGTTAGAATTCTGCAACCGTTACGTCACTTATTGGAACATATTTTACAGATTGGGATTTTATTTAAAAGATAAAAAGTTTTAACATTGCAAGATGCGTTTTATTCACTCCAGGCATTAGAGAGTCCCATCTGCTGCTCCCACCTTATCACACCAGAATGTTGCTTCCACCAGTCTCTGATTCCCTTCTTTTTCTGTCAGAAGCTCTAAGAGTTTGATTTTCTGTTTTTTCTTCATACAAAAGAAGAAACACACATAATATGTTGTTGCTGTATTATTAAATAACATAACATAATACATTGCTATTGCGTGCAACATTTTAATATAATTCTCAGCTGACATATTTTAAAACTTACTAGCAGCTCTACTGCACCCACTGAAAAAGCCAAATGGACACATTCTGAGGGCATTCGTCACAGGGAGGGTGTATTTCTCCATTAAGTTTTCTACAGAAGGTCACGTAAAGATCCCTCTAAGTGAGATGGTTAAGGTAGTACAAGCAGTCTACTCATGGCTACAAATAATGCCAGAGGTCTTCAGCTTAACCCATGATAAATCTGGGGAAAGTGGAGATGGGGAAGGGGAGAAGCTAAGAGCTCTTTACAGTGTTATTTCTAGGTCTTCTGTTGATCATGTCACTTGGGCAATTTCTGCACTTTTAATAGCCTTAACTTTTTAATCTTTAAATATACTGTTCTTTAACTTCGCAGAGTTGTAGCTATGTCAGTTAACAACTGTTTGTAATGGTCGGAGATCTTTGGAAGAACAGGGCTTAACTTTTAGAACTCTGTGGAAATATCTACATCAATATTTTACAATATCATTTACAAACAAAGCAAGATATTGTTCTGTTTTACCCTTTTAAAATTGCTGATGAAACCTCTCATGATCATACACCAGTGTTACGATACCTACTAGCTTCCCCTTAGAAATAGCACCTAAACCACATGCCAGTCCCACTGGACCTCAGAACTCTCACCAGAGTAAACGGTAGAAGGAAAACATGATTAAGTAACCAACTCAAAGTGTAGTAGATCAGTGGCAGAACCACTTCATCTTGTGCTCAACTTCCTAAGCAACTTTATGACTGGATGAAAGATACTACTTTAAGATACTTATGTATGTAATTGTTACAACATGGTCACATACCAATGTGGATGTCTTAAAGGTCAGTTGTGGACATCTTAATAATAAATTGATATCAGTATTTTATAAGAAATTGATTTCTATGCAACAATAAATCTACTCCCACTTTTTACAGGATGGAAAACCTGTACCCCTCATTCTTGAAGTAGGTTTTAATTGAAAGTGAAATAAAATCAGGCACTATGTCTATAGGCAAGATGCAAAATTCTTAAATGCTGTCCATAAAGCGGGATATTTTTATTGATGAATCTATAAAATTCTGGAAAATAGTTTTAACCGATTGTGTATTGAAATCAGTCACATTACAGTAATGTAAACTCAAGCAAAACAGCAATTCTCATCCTAAAAGAAAATATCTTAATCTTATAAAAATGAAAATATTTAAAAGAAGATAATAAAATTACATAGCATAATAATACAAGATGGGACTACTTGATGGAACGCAGTGTTCATGAATCATGTCAATTTCTGCACTAGGATGATTCATGATCTAACTGGCAACTCTTCAACAGTAAGTCAGAAAAGCACGTTTGCTCTGCAAATTGACTTAAGAAAGGTCTCTTGTGGGATGAAATACTCAGCCAGTGCTCTTTGTGATTCCTTCCTATTCCATAAGGTGCTTAAAGCAGGTATTAACCTCTTTTGTGATTCCATTGAGTTATATGGGTGCATCTTTAGCATAATTCTTGCAATTTCTATTGCCTGAGTATTACCTAAGTTCTAGCAAATGACACCAAAGCTAAAGGTCATTTTCTTGTCACCTGCTTGTGAGCACTGGATCAGGATTTACTAAGATATTTTTTTCTTGAATCTACATTATTTTCAAAAAGAAAGAATATTTTAATTGGCACACACATCTCTGAAATGGGACAAACAAAATGTTTGAATTCATGAGTATGGTAAGTGAAGACCTCAGTTCTCCACCAAGGTAACTTTGGGTTTTTGAAAAATTCCTGTAACAACATGAATATATGAAATCAGAAATTCTTCATCCCTGCAAACTGCGCTATATTGTCAAAAGTGAACATGTCAATATTCAATAGAGCAGTTTTATGGAAAAGACTACACTTAAGCAATTAAATAATATTTTGTCCAAACATACATCACTTTGAACTAAGAATCATTAATTACATCTTTTGATATTTTAATAATTAAACAACATATTACTGTCAAATCTTCCATTCTTCAAACACACATATAATTACTTAGGAAAAGAAACATATTAGAAGTTACCTTATTCATGTTGCAAAGTCAATAAACTAAAAGTTAGGACTTGCCAGAATTAAGATTGTCAGTGCAATATTTAACCAGCACATGTGTAAATTTACATGATGATGTAGTCTAAATATATACTCAATTATTATTTTCTCACAAGTTTTCTGCCTTAGTGTGTCCACAGATGGTGACACTCATTCAGGAGCATCTATTGAGTTGCACCTCTCATTGTACAATTTTCAAATTCTTATCTCAGTAAGAGATATTTCCATCAATTTCTTATATATTTGGATACCAATTTATTCTGTCATTCAACTTAGAAAATAATGTTTCCTTGAAACTAACTTTTTTTTTGTATTTTAGTATGTGTATATTTAGCACCAGGATTGACTTTCTGAACAAAAGAAAGATAAAAGAGGTACACCTAAACATATCTGTGGCCAACAAGGTTATGCAGATGAACACGTTTACCATCAACCATTCCTGTACCTGTATCTCTTAATATCTCCTTATAGAGCTGCTCCATTTTCTTATGAAAACAATTAAGTATTGGGCCAGATTACAAAAGAGAAACTGAATCTACAGTGCAGCAGACATTATACCAACGTAGAACATTAAAACTCTTATTCAGAACTAAAGGTAGGTCATCCTAAGCCTGCTCTTCTTTCTCCAGAAATGTTTCTCTTCCCCTAATATATCCTCTTGGCTTCTGACACTATGCAGTTTAGGGACTTTCTGAATCACGGAGAGCATCCAGATCATTGTGTTTGATCAGATACCTACTTTCAAATAGTGTGTTGTTAAGGTATTCACTTGGGAATGGTACACTGAGACTTGAAGCTGAGTCTTTTACATTCCACTTTCCTCCCGGAAGACAAAAGGTACAAACTGCTCTGTGTGAGTCTTTCTCTGTCCCTTTGTATTCAAACAAAAGATATCAGTTTTATTTTAAGTGACAGATAGAAAAACGTTTGAAATTTGGAAAAGTTTTATGTGATGTAAAAAATATGTCTAACTAATCTTTGCATCTAACTGCTTTGTGAATATTAATCCATTTATTTTTCCCAAATCCTTGTGAGACAGATGAGTAATTGGAATTTCTACAATGGTTGCTAAAAAAAATTTACAACATTTGAACTAGGTTTCTGGTTTTAAAGAGAGGGAACAGAGGTACACAGTGATCAGGGCAAAAGCACATGGCTTTTGAGTACACCTAATTTTTGAAAGTATTTAGCAGTGTATGTTGTTTTATATACTCAATATGTCCCATTTACTTTATAGATAGCTGAAAATGTCAGCATGTCTACTAATCTAACCGTTGAGTTTGAAATCATGCACTTTGAAATAAGTGACCACCTAATGATCACCTATAAAAAGTGTGAAGTAAGTACTGTGGGTAATATTTAAGAAAAGGCATTAGACTCTGGCAAAGACAGGGACAGAGTGCAATTTGACTTGGCACCTTAAGGTACTTCTGCTGCGAGACCACTGACTGAACACAAAGAGTCCACCTTCATTCACGACGTATCTTCCAAACTTTTCTACAAAGAAAATGCATTCTTAAAAACAATAAGTCACTACGCAAGCTTGATCTCATTCCAGAACAAATTTACCTCGTACAGTGAAGGTGGTAAAATTCCACCAGAAGAAATCCCGTGTGATTACACAGCAAGAGACTATATCATAATATAATATATATGAGTAGCTGAATGCAAGCTGCTCAGAGAACTTCTTTTTATATTTGTTAAACTTTTGAGTGTTTTCTTTAGGAATGTTATTAACCTGTGAGTAAAGTTGGGGAGGGTGTTTTGGTTTTTGGGTTGGTTTTTTTTTAAAGAAACCTGAAAATACTGAAGTGGAAAAATAGGAGTTTATACAGATACTTAATTCACCAGAAAGGACCACTCAAGAGATATCACTATCACTATTGTTTCCTCTTTATACCCGGCAAACCAGTGTAAGGTGTTTCGTCTTTCCTGTCTGGTGCAAGCTCCGTATCTCAGCTCCATTATCTTTGACTAGCAAGTCATAGCCTCACATTCTGGACTCTCCTTGCATTCTTGGTCTCTCATAATCTCTTCAGACTTCCAAGGGCCAGCTTGCAATTCCCGATACTTTTCAGCTTCTAGTTCTAGTTTCTATTACACTTAAGTCTACTTTCCCAAACAACCTCCCTTTCCTGCTATAGCTGGCTCCTTTCCTTTCTGTGTTCTGCCTTGGCTAAGAAAGCAAATCTCCGATAGCAAAGAAAAATCTGTTTGAGCACCTAAAATTACAGCTAGTCCAACGATAGTAATTTAGAACTACAACTTACAGTGTAAGAGGAATCTGCAGGGAATTAGCTGCTAGAGTGTATAAGGATTTGACTAAGTACACATCACAGCGATTTTCTAAAACTATTACACTTTTATCACAGGAGCAAACAAATTAATCTTTGATTTTGTTCTTGCAAAATGTTGAATGGTTTAGGCTGATATTTAAAGAAAACTAGCCTGAGGGAGATACCTAGCATTGAATTTTTTTTATCTAAATGGTTAAGGTAAGGCAAAGAAGGCAGCCTTAATAACAAGTAGCAGTACCAGTTCATCATGACTGTCAGAATTCATCATGAAATTGTTACATAATAATACATAAACATATATAAGCACATAAAAAGAAGGAAAAAGAAAAATTAAATCATCTAATAATACATACATTCTACTTCTCCAACCACAGGCAGCTAAATCACTGTGACTGTAGTTACTACGTATGAAATGCACTAACCTTCACTTTGTCCCATTCCACCCTCCCCATAATGTACCAGCTGAATGCAAACGTGCAGGAGAAACAATGTGAAAGACTAATTAAAAGGGAATGCAATCTTAAAAACACTTATAATTGCAGACATCACATTTCTACTGTGCTATTTTAGTATTTAAAAATCTGGGTGCAGAAGTATCATAAATATAGGCTTAATTTGACATAGCTCTTTTGAGTTCCCTTTGGAAATGTTACCCATAAGCTTGATTTAGCCTCCTGTCAACCACTTACATGCTCATCTTTCGGGACTGACTCTCCTTATTTCCATTGTTCTTTTGGTCAGCTGAGTTAAATAAGTTGCGAGAAGAACAACTGGAAGGGAAGGCAACATTCCCACTATTACCAGTAGAATGAGTCCGGAATGAATCATCTGAAACAAAGAGCTGCAGTTTAGACAGAGAACTTTGTCCGAAAAAAAAAGACACAGAGAGTAAACAGAATGAGCTATTTTTCCTGTGGCAATAGTTGCATATTTCCTATGGCAATAATCCAAAAGTTTAACTTTCTGTAAGGGAATGGTTTCAATTTAACATTTCTTCAAATATTTTTATGAAAAAATGCTAAATAAAGATAATTAGAAGACACATTTTGGAAGAGAAGATTAATACATTTAATATATAAAAATAGTGGGATTTAACTGGCCAATCTTTAGCTGCTTAAAATTTAGTTGTTTCATCTAAGCTAAGTGTCTAGTATGTATTGGTAGTGAATGGAAAAAGACAGGTTCCTCTAGGCAGCAGTTCGTCTCATTCTAATCTTTAATCATCCAAACTCTTTCCAACAGCAGTTTCTCTCCCTTATTTCAGTAGAATTTACACATATTATCCCTTTCCTCACATAAAATGGGTGGAGGCACATTGCAAAACCAACCTTTTTATAACATCCAAAATGCCAATCAAGAAATGCCAAACTCATTTTACTTTTACTACTTTTAAATGTAAATTTAAATGAACATATAACAAAAAAAAAATCTGAAAAATACACTAACTAGACTAGCAGTTATGTCCTCAAATGTATTGGATTTCTATTATTCTGTGTTCTTTAGAAGAATTATATCTTACAGTAAGCCTGTTTAATGGGGCTCACATATTCAGCACACCCACAAAAAACTAACGTAAAATATAACAACCTACTTACCACTAAAGGATAACATACAACTCTTTCCCATTCCTGATACTGAAGATGTATATCCTGTAGCAGAGCTTTTACTTAAAAAACAAACAAAACAAAACCAAATTGCTTATTACAGAAAAGTGTTCTTCTCAATTGTGTCATCCTGCTGTTTAATAATATTGGAGGCTATTTCTGAGTTTATATGAAAAAATCAAATGAGAAAGTTATGCTAAAATTTCTTCAAGAAATGTACAAATTTAGGTTTAGCAGTTCATATTGAAAAATATTTTTAATATATGATAAAAGGTGACATACATTGACTTAAATGAATTAATAACAATTTGTAGGCCTCAGCATGCCTTAAAATGGTGTTTCTTCTCTCAGTTCAAAACTGCATACCTTAATCAAACAGAAAGCTGAAAATTTAAGCCACAATTCAGTGAGCACATCATTACTTTCAAAGATTCATGTGCATATAATTTCATAACAGTTGTCTATTAGGTAAACAGTTGCCTATGAGGTAAGCAATGAAGATAATAAAGATACTTAGGACACTTGTCTATGTTGCTGTATTTTGGATGTAGTGCTTGAGTACTGAAAGACTGGCTTCGAACCAACTTGGATTTTTTGTCTTCTTTGCCTAAAATTATAAGTAGCAAAAATTTTTAACATGGATATCATTGCATTTCCTCAGTAATTAAGAACACTTTTTAATATAATTTTCTGTCAACATATGCTAGCTGAAGGAACTGATTTAAATACTTCAATAACAATAAATAAACCTTATGTCACCTATTTATATACTAAAGAATCAAATAAAACTAAAACCCATAGAAAACACATTCCGTTCTAGGAGCGGAATCTTTTCCTATGTGCAATAGGTGAAACTTTGGCCCACAAATGCCAACAGCACTTTTGCTGGGTTTTAACCTTCTGATGTGAGATCAAAGCATTCTAGAAGAGTTTTTAAAGAGTTCTTACCTGCTGATGTACTAGAAGAGCTTCCAGGAACAGAGAGAGTGATACTTTTTCCCAACACTGATGATGTTTTACTGTCTCTACCTAAAAAAAAGTCCAGTATAAATACCTCTCTCTTAAAGCTTAACTTTAAATAAAGAAAGAGGACGTAACATATCACAGTCCTGAGGTAAACAGTAATAATATCTAATCCAGTGCTACTAACACTTCAGATATACCACAGACAAGTACTTACATTACATCCTGAAATGAAAAATACCAGAGAACTAAAACTGTCATGTATTTTATTAATAAAGCTAAAAGTCTTCCTTCTAAGATAATGAGGCCAGTTTTCATAAATATCTTTAGAAATATACAGAAAAAAAAGTTTTATTCCCACTTTCTAAAACTCCGCCATTTACTGTATAAAGTGTCTCTCTTCTGGTCTTTTCTATTCTACCTTTGTAGAAGAGTAATGCATGCACAAACAATATGTAAACGAATAAACAAACTTACGCTTCTTTTCAAACATTTTATCATTAATATTTGTAGATCTTCCTTCGTTTTGCTGCTTCTCTTTTTCAAATTGTTCCTAAAAAAATGAATAATTTTCTTAGGTATTACTCAGAAAAAAAAAATAAATTGTGTTTCAACTATGGATTGCTTCCGAATCACCAACATGAGTTAATTTGTACTCTCTCCTACTATTACTACAACCCCTAATGAATATCCAGAGAATGAATTAAATAGTACAGAATGAAATCAGAGTACATCTCCTATATAAAAATCACACCAAAAAATATTGACTTTAATTATGAAGGAATCTCAGAATTGATGTTTACATTTATAACTTATTATTAAAATTATGCCTGGCTTTTTTTTTTATTTTATTAAAAAGATACAGAAATTGGCAGCCTGCAATGTGAAACTTTTGTGCTACACAGATACTCTGATAATAAAACTGGCAATATTTTTAATTCAAATATACAATTCAATGAAAATGTTTTTCTCAAATGGTAAGGTGTGCCACATATGCTCAAACTTTTTAAAGGTCTAAAATTAACATCTACCGTTGATAAGTTTTTATGCAAAACAAAACCAAGTATTACAGTTCTTCAAGTCTAAGCAATTTATTTGCCTTTCTGTAATATTAGCTAGCCTTAGAATACCTTTTGAGAGCAGATCCATAGACAGAAGACAGTGTTAACAGAGTTACATCAATAATTTCAAAAGCCAATACTTGCTTCAGGATTCTTGGTGAATAGATATCACTCCAATTTGAAAAAGCTATATAATATTAGCTTATTTTCTGTACTATGTTCATAATAAAAAGTGCCAAGTGAATCGTAACTGTTCTACTCTGTTTTTTCATTTCACTCTAATTACTACCCAAGTTAAAAAAAAAAAAAAAAAAAGGAGGTAATTAATTCAGGTCAAGGTTGCTGGAATATAGTTTCTACTAAGTCAATTACTAAAATTAAGGAAACTTATTAACATATGCAGTATTAAAATCTGTAGTAGTCAGAAACATTTAACTGGGGTCGATGACTCTTCATTTATTTGGGATTGCAACATGTCACAATTTATTGTGTACATCTCCACTTCTTCAAAAGCATGCCTCTCAAAGACAATTCTTAATGAGACCTTTGTGCTACAGAAGGTACGCCCATATCAATGGGATATATCATAAAAATACAGGTGGTCTTCTGAAGTCTAGCTGTAGAAACAGGGTAAAAATTAATGTTATCATACAACACACGATAATGGAGTGCACTGGAGGCTATTTTACCACAGCCCCAAATGCTTTCACTATAAAAACATGAATTGTATCTACCTAAAAACTGCTAAAGCTAAGTTCAAATCCTTGAATGCGTGCATGCAGATCCTGAGAACAAAGCTTGAACCTTCGGCTCGAGCTAATGGGAGGTGGCAGGAAGTACATGGGATGGGTATCATGAATTGAGAAAATTAGCTGCCCAGGAGAAGGCCTGCAGTACCTATCAACATCAAAGTGGGCCACGAACGTAGGCTCTGTAGCAATCCAAGAGGAAAAAGTGACATTTTTTTTGGATAGTCTTGAATCTGTTCTGGTTCACTACAGAGGAGCTCAATTACTACAAGTCAGAGGAACCATGCTAATGAAATTCAGCCTCTTCTAAATCCTATCAGCTTCTGAGCTTCTTCCACCTCAGGCTGGAGAGCAGGCAGCAGAACGGAGGACTGCAGTAATCTAATCTAGGCTTTGTGAAGATGTAGTGGGCTACGTGGTGAAGCGCCTGCTGCAGCTTTTGCTTACAGCCATGAGTGAAGATAAAGAGTTTTGTAAGTTAAAAAACATTCTGCAGACTTCTTTTCCAAATCCTAAGTAACTTGTAGCTCCTTTTGCTCTATACAGCCCGCACTATGTGTCTCTCCTGCCAGGCTGCAGATATCAATGGCTTTTCTTTCTTGCTTTTTTTCTGGCTAAACAGGAAAGCTTGTAACACACAGAGCCTCCTTCACGTTACTTGGAACAAAGAAGTTATGACATTTTCTTTGCCTATGGAAGCTGTATGCGAATTCTGAGATGTTTCATTGTTCAATTTATTACATTATAGATGCCTGACAAATTGCTAAGCTCCCCGAAAAAAATTTCGTAAAGATGTGCTGAAGGGCTTGGATTTTAGAACTACAGGGGCATCAAGCATGAGTATTCTTCAAGAAATACTATTTTGCCTTTCTAATTGATACAGCAAAATTCAGATAGTAAAGAAAAGGAAGTTTTATGTTACTATGAAGGACTTAACCCTATTGTAAAGTGTAAAATGAAACCACACACAGATTATGAACCTACCAGGTCTCTCCTTAATATGCACTTCCCCTGCTTTAAAATTGTTGCCTCATTAATATTTAGCTACAAACTACTAAAAAAAGGACAGATTGTACTGATAAAATATACCATTTCCAAAAGAAGATGTTCTTGTCTCTCTTTTTCTTGATCCAATAAATCATTTTCGTAAAATCTTTTCTGAAACTTCAAAATAAAATCAATAAAAATAAAAAATCACTACATGAAAACGGGAATTAAAAGCACTTGATAAGTATTAAAGTTAGTAAGTACTTACAGCATCTACAGAGATCTCCATTCTGTCCAATTCTAATACTGTCTATAAAGAAAATCAAACATTATTTATCATTACTCAACAGCATGCCACACTTCTAACTAAAAAACTGTCCAGATAAGAAGCTTAGAATAGTGGTATTCAAAACATGCCTTTTCTTCCTAAACATTTGAAGCCTATGCTTGTATTTTTGTGCTACAAATGCAGTTAAAAACTGTCAGAGAGTATTCTCAGAGCCCTGCTGAGACTCATAACGAAGGACTTATAGACTATCTATATGGAACTCAAAATACACTCAAGGGAAGCACAGAAGCATGAATGGCTGGAGCACAGACCTAGAAACCAGGACTGAAAAAACAACTCAGGAATCTGTGAATAAGCCAGGATGCTCCACGCAGGTGTTCTCTCAATCTCTCCTGCTGACTGGCCCTATAAGGAAGCCACATACTTTAGCTATTTCACTTCATGGCTTCTTTGAGACTAAGCATGGGCATCCCTTAAAGATATATTTTTTGTGAATATTCACATTACAAAGACATTTGTAACATGTCAAAATCCTGCAAATCCTTTATCTGTACATGGTAAAATATATAGATTAACAAGATATCTCTACCTCAAAGACTTGACCATTTTTACTAGGGTCAATGTTTAATCCTATCTTCAGTCATCTGCTATTTTTTCACAAATGGTCAGCAAGCCAAAATCCTGAATCCCAGTCACCAGGAAATAACTGCAATCTAAGTAACCAAGGAAACACCAACTCTCTTAAATTTGACAGAATGCACTATACCACATCTTCTCTTAATTGTTCAAAATTACATAATAGACAAGAGAATTCTTTAGTCTTGTGTTCTTACATTAAGAGAATCAGCAGAAAGCATAACTTTGATCATCTTAACTTTTAATGATAACCCCAAGACAAAATGCTGCTGGCAAAGAAAAATTCTTACTCTTTTTACAATAGTCAGGACATCTTTGTCTTTCTCTTGACACAGAAGTTTCCTTATACATAATTCCAACTGCTGAAGTAAATGTTTATCCGTGGGAATCTTCAGAGTAGATTTAACTTTTGGCAACAAATAGCATAGCTTCATTCTACAAAAAAAGAAGTAAATATTCACCTTTTGATACAGATGTTTAATAAACATTATTAATTTTTGTATTGCATGCTAGCATTTGACACAAAATAAGTAAGTTATTAGGTCTTATTTTTCAGAAATGATTGTTGCTTATGTGTTGTTTCCAGACATACTGTAACATTTTCAAAAACTGCTCCATAGATCAGGACTACAGCATTTAACCTAGAAAGATAAGAAAAGGTCTAGGTTTTCAAAATTATCTACACATCTAGCTATCAGGTACATAAATACCCTGGAACAGGGTATTCTTTTGTAAACATGTTAAGGAAGAATCGAGAAAAGAACAATGACAAAATTAATTTTATTGTCAGTTAAGGGATTGCAAGTTATTTCAAGTTTCCATTAAATTTTAATATTGTATCAATAGAGCTTTTAATTAAAATGTTTGTTAAAAGCAATAAGCTACTTCAGATTATATACAAATTTAGTTTATTATTTTAATATAATCCTCTTAACTTAAGGAATGAGACTTGAATGTTAACCTATATGCACCAAATGGCTCAGGTTTTAGGTTTGGGATCCTGCTGAATTGACTACAAAAATAATGGAAAAAACACTACAAAAATTAGTAACATACCAAATTCCCTTACATTTTTCTGTTCTTTTTCAATTTACTTCAACAGTGAAGTAGAAAACTTTTACATAAGCTGAAACCTACGCTAACTGGTTAAGCTCAGACCACTGAAAGAATTGTTTGCGTGTTTTACTTTACATATAATGAAGTTGAAATGGATGGAAATTAATGGAGACTGTGAAGTTACATTTCTCTACACCTATGAAACAGCATGTTACTTTCTTCTCAACTACTGCTGGCTCCTCTGCCTCAGTGTTCCTTTCACTCCCCAAACCGGACACTTAGGATCAGTCTCCCAAAAACCCAGACTGATCTGCTTCTCTGGTTTTCTAACATCATTCCCATAGTCCCCTACACCTTTAATACTGGTCACCCTGAAGGCTCTGTACCTTTTTACTCAAGTCCCATTATTTAAACAAGACATAAAACCTGTAACAATATTTCTTAATATATTATTTAAAGCTTTTTTCCTATACAGTGCTACATACTCTTCGTACAGTACCTCACATTTGCCACTGGATCATGTGTAAGTTCAAGCACAGGTAGAAAGAAGTATTTACAGAAGAATGATTTTGAAAACAGTTCCATAATGAATTCACAAGTATCTAAAAAACGAAGTCTGTTCCAATAACTTTTTCCTTGGCCCAGTTCTGAAAAATAACAATCCACAGGCATTAAGTTTTCAATGTCAGATAGAAAACATTTCAAAGGTTAACCTTTGACTCAAAGATAATCACACTCATCACAAGGCACACTTTCTCAGCCCACCTCAATTCTTTCTTTCAGTGAAAACCTAACCTTCTGAATTCAATGACCATTTCTGTCAGTGAGCATTTTTTTCAGAACTACATCCTGTCCCTTTAACCATTTGAAAAAGCAAAAATAGCAAGTGAACTAGCTACTATGCTGAACAAAGAAAGCCCTACATGCCTTTCAAACCATGTCACTGATGTATCAAAATTTCTATGTAAACATTAAGGATTGCTAATGGGAACTATTCAGACTTCTAACCTATCTTTAAAACACATAGCACAGACCTGGAAGTCAACTTAGGTGACTAACTCATTCATAAATTAATTTCTGAGAAGATCTGTTCAGCACTTCTTATGCTGAAGCCTCTAGAGAATTTTACTTCTGTAGAGGAACTCTGCTTTGTATATTGCAGCACCTACAGCTAAGCAATTTTGGATTCAAGAAGTAGGGTTGGAGGGGTCTTGGCATATTATCAATTTCCCATATTGCCTCTTTCCCAATTCCTTTGCATAAGCTTCAGCTATATTCCTCGCATACGCACAATATGTTTTGCCTGGTGATAATATGAGCAACTGAATGTCTTCTAAGTGTAATCCCTCCAATGATGGCAGGAAGTTACACTGAATAAATATAACCATAAATAGATCTTCAGTCAAAACTAACTTGCATCTCTAAGTGATCAAGGAAAAATTATCTTACGTTCAATCAGTTTCTGAATAACCTCATGCCTCTGTTCTTGTTTGCGATTATAACGCAAATAAACGCAGAGAGTTCGAGCAGCTGCTTTTTGGACTGGCAGGACGTTCTTGAAAGAAATAAAGGGGAACACCATTAAACATAGCTGAAGGAGTATGACTAAAAATGTATACAAATTCTACAAGTAGAAAAAATAGCTAAACTTTAGCCTAACTTTATAAATTTTAAATAATTGGCATAATGTAAGGGAGAATAAGGAAGTTTGGCCAATTCATAAGACACCTACTTCTTTATCGCTTCTATCTAACTTGTTTATTCAACTATTTCATAAACACCTTAAAGTAGTCCATGTCTGGAAGGCACCTTCTATATTGCACGTGTTAGAAAATAAAACTTACAACATCTTCTCTTACAACAGACAGTTTTACTCTTGAATTAATTCCGTAAAATTTCAGACTAGTAGCTCTAAATGGTAATTTATTTTCAGAATAAAGTGTTCTTTCATAAAGAATGGAGCACAATGCAAAGTAATGTATGGAATCCGGAAAAAGAAGGCATATCTCAGAAGAAAAAGTTTTGATTTACCTAGAAACAAACTGATAATGAGCACAAGGAAAGGAAAGAATTCTTGAGTGGGAGGAAAAACATGATAATCTGTCAATCCAGATTTTGCTCCTCAAATAGGGGGATGTTCTCAGAGCAATTTCTCAGTCTTACATTAAGAACCACAGCCTGATATACTATATGCAATGAGAAATCACACATTAAGATTAATATAAAGTATTATGCATTGCAAATATCTGGTGGTCATTGTTCTAAATAGCATAAACAAATAAAAAACAATGGGAAAGAGGCAGGCTCACGTTTGTCAAAATGATTGTCAACATTCGGTGAAGAAAACGGTAATAAATCTGATCACTTGGTATGATATGAGGGAGACATGCATATTTTTGTAGTAACTTCTCATGAGTCCTCCATTTTAAAGAAGTTGCTGCTCTCTGTTCTGCTGTTGTTAATGCAGGAATCAAGTCAGGAATAGACAATAACTAGAAATAAAAATATAAACATCAAAGTAATTTTACATCTTCTAGGTGTGTATCATGTTACTATACTTAAAAAGCACATCACAACAATGTAAGAAGGGAAGAGATTTTAAGGGGTCAATTAATTCCTCTCCTCAGACAGGATCAGCTACACTGTGACCATTTCCAGTAGATATTAGTCTAACTTTTTCTTAAAAAAATTTAATAATCGGGATTAAATCTCCCCTAAGCAGTAAATGCCACTTAACTAATCAAAGAGCTATTCCAGTACCTAAACTAAATACACTTTCATTTCCACCACCCCCTCCTGACAAAGAAAAACTAATCACTGTTCTCTTTGTAATACCCTTTTACAGATATGAAGACCATTACTTTAAACTGAAAGAGGGTAGATTTAGATTAGATGTCAGGAGGAAGTTCTTCACTGTGAGGGTGGTGAGGCACTGGAACAAGTTGCCCAGAGAAGTTGTGGATGCCCCATCCCTGGCAGTGTTCAAGGCCAGGATGGATGGGGCTTTGAGCAACCTGGTCTAGTAGAAGGTGTCCCTGCCCATGGCAGGGGGGGGTGGAACTAGATGGTCTTGAAGGTCCCTTCTGACCCAAACCATTCTATGATTCTATGATTATGACAACCCTCCTCAGTCTTGTGTTTCTCAAACCAAATAAATCCCATTTTCTTTCTAGCCTCTTAAACTTTGCAGTTATTCTTCTCAGCTCCCTAATTAATTTTAGTGGGAATTATACTTCTTTTCTCAGTAGGAAGGAAAGACTATAGTAGCCAAGCTAAATTCTCTTTAGCACTAAGCAAAATGAAACAGACTGCCACACTTGACATTGCACTTTTTATACCTTATATACATTTACGCTGTAAACATCTGACAAATTCACATTTTAAATTACACTCTCAACTTTTGTCCATACAATAAAATAAATTTATTCAGTTCTTATATTGTTGGAATATCTCAATTTCTCTATATATTTAGGAAATATGCTCAAAACAGCATCTTGAAGCAGGAGATGATCTTTTATGTTCCATTTTACAGATGAGGAGTCACTGAATAAACCATCATCCAGAGCCACATACAATTAAATTAGCAAAGTTGGGAGCTGAATACAGATCTCCTAAATCCTATTTCAGTGCCTTGACTTGAGAAAATAGGCTTCCTTCTAGCAGAAGCTGTGTCTGAAAATGGCAACCATAGGCAGCTGCCACATCAATATTACAAAAAAAAAAAAAAAAAAAAAAATAAAGGATTAGCTATCACTCCTTTAGCATGAAACCAAGATTTGTTTTAACTTAATGAGTGTATTTCAAATTTTGATCTATTTCAGCAAACCTGTAATTAATTAGAAAAAGAACATGGATAAACTGTTCATTTTTATATTAAGTCTGATCTTTCAAAACCTTTTTTTTTTATTTTAAAGTTTATAAAGTCAACAAACAATCAAAAAAGCATAGAAACTTTGTATCTCTCCAAAGCGGAAACTAATCACAAAAGCCTTTTCATACCATGTATGTCTGAACAACTTTGCCACTACCTTCATTTAGAAAGCAAATTTAAAAAAAACATGAGAATACCCACCTTGCTTTCTGATCCACTGTTTTCTCCTCCATTAGTCATCAGTTCAAGGATTTCAGGAAGGTGACCAACCAGGGCATCTAACACCTATATAAAGAAAGGCTGCATAAATGAGGTCTGTAAATTAACTTTCTGACATCTCTTATGTTACTGTTCTGTCACATCCGTATGAAAACAAGCAAACAAAAACCCCCAAAAAGAAGAGATGCAACATATTTGCATTTATTTGCATTGATGAGGAGGACTGGGATTTTAAATTGATGTTTTAATGCAGTAAGTAATATAAGTATTATAGGTTTCAGTTTAGGAAAACAAACTTACAGTTTTGATTTATGTGAATACCACAGTCAATGCTTTCTAAACTACTCAGAGCATACAGTATTTTAAAATGAACATTCATTCTTAGAAAGATCTGTATTTTATAGACAGTTAAAAGCCTCAACAAACACAAAAAGATGGTTTTTTATATTTGTCAGCTGAATCCCAAAAGCAATTTTTCCTGCTTTAAGAAAAACTGCAGTTGATAATTAAAAATAGGATATATAGCCTGTATTAATAGAATAACCCTAGTTCAAATGTTGTAATACTTGAAACTAGATTAGAAAAGTACATAATTAAATATTTTTGGCACCAATTCTGACTGAGGTTGTATATAAGATAAAGCACAAAATATTTTTTATTACTTAGATAACTGTATAGGGATCAAACCAAGGAATTTTTCAAAATCACCAGCTGCTTCTGAGTCTCAGCTTTCAGGTGTTCAACCCGAGAAATCTTTTAAGATGGGTCAGAATTTCATAAACTACATGTTCTATGAACACTTCTAATTTCCTTGAAAATGTCTAACAAAGGGTACCAAAACAAAAAGGAGCACCTGAAAGCTAAACTCATTTTTCCATGCCATATCCAAAGATCCTACACAGAAAACAAAAAAGATCAACTATCAGAATAACTGGTATCAGAGGAAATGGTGATTTTGTCTCAAACATAAATATTTGTCTTTTTTTTCAAATCCAGAAGAGTCTCACTGTATTGTCTGCAATATAACTGATTTATGTTTTACACAGGTTAAAACTGAGGTACACTAAACTAAGCTGTCTCATAAACACTCACAGATTCTGTACCAGATCTTGGACTGAAACTCTTTCTATAAATCTTGATCTTTGAACAATACACAACTTCTTCATCTCCTCTTCAATTGAGGAAATTAAAATAAAATGAAGCAAAAACCTTGAACACTATCAATGATTATTTTAATATAGTACCAAAACTAAATCTTTTCATAGAATTTGTAAGGTAATAAATAATATAACAATTAAAACAATTTAGAATTAATATTTTAAAAGCTAATAAATTCAGTGTGGGTTTACTAAATTCAAACACTTTCCTATTTTCCTCCTTTTTATTCACAGAAGGCTGGCATCTTTATGAAGTGTCTGTTAAACAGAAGTAAAAGCTATTGATCATTTCAGTTACTCTACTGTTTTACTGCAGAGTTATTAAACATCAAGATAATCTGCTCAATGTAACAAGCAAAAGAAAGTTCCAGTAAAAGTATATTACCTCCAATGACTCATCCTGTAATAGTGTAACCAGTTCTTTATGTATTGTATACACACCAGAATTTAAAAGCTTAGCAACCTAAAAAATGACAGTAAGATAGCAAGGTGAAACATTCTTTAGTTCCATGGCACTACAACAACTATACTCCATGTGCTTACTTTACAGCAAGCATGAAGAAGGGATGCAGAATTGTTTAATATCAGCCTTCTAAAGTTGTGTACTTTCCAATTGATCACATTACAAATATGCTCATATAAAGAACATAAGTCAAGAAACAGGCCTATTATCTAACCATGAAACATGCTTTTAGTATTAACTCTGTTTCACATTTACCAAAAATTTTTAAGACTGCACTGCAAGGCTAGAAAAATTCCTTCTGGAATATTCAAATGTTGTACTTCATGCTCCTTAGGAGAGTTAACAGTCAGTCTGCTATATAATTTACAAAAGATAAAATATTTAAATTGCCTTAGCCTGTGCTGGATCTTAAGTTTCCCTAACCTTTCCATCTGAAGTTTTCACTCCTTAAGTCTTTAGTTTTTTTGACTGTGATTCATAAGTCACATACAAATTTCTAAAAAACACCAGCAGTCCATCTCCACACTGTTAAAAAGGTTTTATAGCAAATATGGGAAAACTTGAGGAATGAGATTTTTGCCATATGGAATATTTAGATGATGCTTTTTAATGGTTTTCTTTATTTATATAAGCCAAGTGAGAATAAGAGCTTACTTCCAATCAAGATGAAGCTTTAAGGAAATTGCTACAGGGAGTTTATTTTACAAAAAAAAAAAAAAATAATCCACCTAGCAGTGAATGCCATAAATTACTCATTTTTGGTTGTCACATGGTTGCCTAGTTATGGTGTTAAAATTAAATCAACCAGCACTAAATGTACATTCAGACCAAGGTATAATTTTACAGGTTTTTTAAAATGAGCTAAAATACTTTGCTTATATTCAGGCAGTACCTTAAAAGTGTTATACATCTAACACAAAATGTGATGTAGAATTAGATGCTAATTTCACAATTTCAACAATTACCTTGGATTATCATTCATTAAGACAAGGCATCAATAGGTAACGAGAATTGGAAATCCACCCACCTTTCTTATAATGGTGGAAATAAAGCCGTTTATGCCTCTACTAGTGATTTAAATGCTTCCAGCAAGCTGCTAACTTACCAATTTCCCCAGCAACAAAATGGGATAAAAGGCTAGCTCAAGGACTGAAACACACGGATTCTCAGTAAAACACTATGAAAACCTTGAAGATCTCCCTATATGGGTTCCTACAATCAGGAGAGAGTATATTTTCACTTCTGGAATTCACTCCACATAGCTAATAATAGCTATGCAGTTCTACGTTTTTTAACTTTTATGAAAATAATACAGTGGAACTTATGTAAACTGAATGGAATAATAAGAATACATATGCTTTTACATCTGCATGAATTTCCAAGTAGTTTCATGTTAAATTGAGCATTTAACTTAGATTTGATCCATATAAATATTCTCCACAGAACACCAGCATACACCAGCAAACTGTACAGATCTAAAGTAGGTTTTCAGGACCAGAAAGTGGCAAGTTCCTTTCTCACATTTGTCTCATTGTTTTCTAACACCATTGAAAACCTTCAGATATTGCAATTACTACAATTGTTTATGTTTGTGGTACTAGACCATAAGTTTCTTCTAGCTTTTGCTCCTTAAAAGCTTACCTAGCAGTAGGCTCTTGTAGCCAAATGTCCCACAACTTAAATAGACTAATGTGTGTATATGGGCTATATACAGAGGTTAGAAGGGACTGAACACCGTTGACAAACTAAATAATTTCAACAAGTTTTCTCAAGTCTTTTTATTTTGGTTCAACAGCCACAAATATAAGATTAAAGAAGAAAACAACATAAAATAAAAACATGTAAGTACTAACAAAGAACCATTGCAGACTTACTTCATAGAAGCTTATGGCCATAGTATACCTGACGGGAACTTCAGGGTCATGACAAAGGCAGAAGAATATAGAATACAGTTCTAAATGGAAGTTCTTTGGATCCACAAAAACAATCATGGCCTGTGGAAAGATGAAGTCTTTTATTAACTGTATGGCTAAAGGACTACACTATCAGAGATTATTAGATGAAAACACTGAAGTACAACCAGCAAGACACTTGGGAGATAACAGGTTGTGATTTTAAAGAGGAAGTGTGGCATTCTTGATGGCCATGTCAAAACACAGGCACTAGACAAATTCTGGAGTTGAGAACTAAACTGGATTTACTTATCTTCTAGACATGCTGCAGGCTCTTCTTCTGAAGACATAGATTAAAACCACAAGATATAAAACCTTAGTTTTATAAATATGGTTAATGTTTCTGTACACTAGCGGAAGCTGCAACTGGAGACTTGAAAACCAAAGAACATTTTAGCAAGCAGCAAAGAAAGAATCTGAATTTCAACATAATTGTGTGCGTACATACTTTGTTGTTGCTCAAATAAACCAAGAGATGTCTACCTACATACAGGGTGCTTGTGTTTAAAAGGTAGAATAAAAACAACTGTCTACTGGCTCTTGGTGCAAATATATTTTCTTTAAATATAAATGCAGAATGTCAAAATACAAAGTAGATTTACAGAAACATGAGTGGTAAGTTTAAAGACCTCACATAAACTTGAAAAGACTTTCTGTATTCAGGCAGGAACATGACTAACACATGAATCTAACCATTCAGATTCAATCTTCAACTCCCTAAAATGCCATGACACAGCAAATGCAAAAACCTAGCTTTGAGTGGTTTGAAACTGGGGACTCTGTTTCACAGCCATTTTCTCAAAGCCCTTGTGCTAAGGGTTTGGAGAAAATGTGCAGGAAAGAATGAGACCAGTAACCCCTTAGAACAGCATTCTCTCAGCCAAAACTTGCCAATAATTTTCTGAGGGTCTGCAAAGAGGAATCTTTCCTGGTAACTCTTTTGGACGACCTCTACTTTAAGCCACTAACTTGAACTTCCCAGGAGAGAGGTAGAATCTAGCTCACAATGTACAATTTGAGAATAACTTCTCTATCACTCATGCAGTCCTATTTAATGAATATATGCACGACACAAATTAGTTAACCTTAAATTAATGTTACTTACTGGAAAATTGTAAGCACAGTTCTTCCTCACTGAAATATACTTCTTTTCCTGTTCCAAAGTTTGAAGTTGTAGTTGATTATCATTGTGTCCATTTTCCTGTTGTAAACCCAGTGTGGAAAGCTTCTTATAGAATTCCAAAAAACGTAAGTGCTGTTCCGGAGTAAAAATGCCTAAAAAAAGAGTTTACTTTCCTCATTACATATGCTATTAATAACGTCCCAAAACAAATCTCATTTACAAAAGTGTCAAATATGTCGATTTTTATCCCTCCTCCCTGCCACCTTCTGTCTAGCAGAGTGTCATCAGTACACGATACAGAAAAAGTGATTACAGAAACATGACAGCTAACTATAACAGAGTGAATCTTAAATTCTGTTTACATAATTCTTGAAATACTCAGGACTTTAACTGCAGGATTGTGAATATGTTTGTTTGTTCCACTAATACTGGTTTCTTCTTGATTAAATTTTTAGATCTTTATGGAACTCAGTCACATGATGAATGCATGGTTGCAGAAAGGTGAAAAATTAGGCCATGTTGCTACAGATAATAAAGAGGTATAAGAATAAAATAGAAAACTCAGAACAAACTGGAATGCAACTAGCAAGATGACTTCAGAAACTACAAGTCATTTTATAAGTGCATTAGTAATAAGAGAGCAATCAAGGAAAGGCTCAGTTTTCTACTCGAGGGAGAGGAAAGCTATCAGTGATTGGTACCAAGAAGGTTGAAATGCTTAATGCTTTTATTTTCTTTCTCAAATTCCACTAGTATCAACAGGCTCAGTACAATTAATAACTGTGACAAAGATTCAAATTTTAAGTAGAGAAGGAACAGGTCAGTGAATACTTAAATAGAAGAGGTTTTCAAACCATGCAGGGTCAGACGTGCTTCACTCCAGTATTCAGAAGTATTTAAAGTACTAGCTGCTGAAATCTTAAATAAGTGAGATATCAGAATGGAAAAGGGCTAAGTTGTACTGATATTTAATAGTTAGAGAGGTGAAGGACAAGCCATATAATTACAGATCAGTCAGATTACTTTCAGGTTTTGAAAAAATTCGAACAACAACAAAAAAAATATATACTTGTAAATATCAAAAAGAAAACAAGAAAACAAGTAGCAGCTAACATGGCAAAAGCAAAACTTGTCAAACTGATTCCATTTCCTTCTAGTACTGAATAACAGGACCTGTGAACAGAAAAGAGGCAGTAAAGGTCATGTTTTTCATAAGCAAAATAAGGGATCAGGAAAGAGAGATTAAAAACTATGAAGGTGCTGCAAAACTGCTTGGAAAAACAGTTAAGGGAAAGTTACCCATGGTTCACTGAAAAGATAGGCAACTGTATAAAGAAAGGTCTATCCTAGTTCTGGTACTATTCAGTATTTTCACTGGTTTTTTGGATGTTGGATTAGAGACTTCCTTATTCAATATTCTGATAACATCAACCTAGGAGGGAGAGTGCTTATTCTTCAGAAAACAGTTTAAAATTATCTGTATCACCTGCACAAGGCCAGGAAAAAGAAAGACTAACTAGCTGTCAGACTTAAAAAAAAAAAAAGGCTTCATAGGCTGCACTTGAACAAATAATGTCAAACTATCACAAACCGTTGGAAAAAAAAAAACAACGCAGTTTTTCATACTGAAAAATGTAAACAGCAATATAGCTTGCAAGACAGATGAAGTAACCCCTTCACTTTGGTCAGCTCTCCTAAGGTGTAACACTTCAAGAAAAATATGCACCTGCTAGACAGAGTTCAGAGATGAAGAGATCAGCAATTAAGATGATGACTGGGAAGACATGATAAGAACAGGATGGACTGTCCTAGCTCTATGTTTCTGTAAATAACAGCTTGAAACTGTGGAACAGCCCTTTTGAGTTCTTTGTAGTGAAGCAATGGTCACTTTAATAGTCTCTAACATGATCATAGAGGATCATTTTAAAGATCTGTAAGAAAGATCAAAGGGTTTAAGAGCCTAGGGGGAAATTCTCTATAATGTAAAACCATGATTCTGTGCTGTCCCTCTCCAGGTAAGCTCTGTGTAGAAGGTATATGGTGGGCAGAATGATCAAGGAAAATTTGCTGTGCTGAAGTGAAAACCACAAAAACTACGGGAGTCATCCAACTCACAAGCTCCAGAACATCCAAGAAGGAATCAAAATAAATCAGTCAAACCAATAAACACCATGTTTCCATCTCCAACCCTGTCTGAACAAAAAACTCTGTCCCTGTCTAAACATAAAAACCCCAATAAACAGATGGACACCCAAAGAGGAAATTCACAAAATCCAATATTTATGTAATAGATGATTTCGGACTTTTACTTCCGTATTTCCTTTCCTAACTACCATTTATTTCATTTGATACATTCAAATCTGGATATTTTCCTAGGGCTTCAAATTCTCCAATCTTCCCTCACTTTTAAGATTTTTTTTTAAAAGAACATTAAATCATACCATATAATCCATTACACAGTTTCCCTAAATGGAAAGATAAAGAAACTAGGATAGATTCATCTGCTTTGAAGGATTTTTCACAGAATGATTTCACTAAGGGGAGCACGGTTTGACTCCTATCATCTGAAAAACAAAAGAAATTTTAAAAGTTAGCCATTTGTCAACATTTTAAAAAGAGCACAGAGAGTGGACTTCCATAATAAGTTATGAAAAATCTCATTTAACATGCTCAGGAGTATTTTTGGCAGGCACTCACTGGAGGCAGAAAACAAGTGGTATAGAAAATGACAAACATACTACCATAATACAGGTCCTAATTTGAATACCTTACCTGGTTTGGTTTTTTTTAGGGACAAGGCATCCCCCAATAGAGGATGAGACAGAGAATAAATGAACAGTCACTAACTTCTCCATTCACCAAGAATACAGGGAGAGAAAGAATACTGCAGTACTCCTACAGTAAGATTTCCTACAGTAGTAGGAATACAGGGAGATCAGGACCGAACATGAACATGACAGTAAAAAGAAAAAATCTGGATATGCTGTAAGTGAATTTTTTCAACCTACTGAGAAGAGGAGGTTGAAAATCTTTTGGTAAACAATAAATTCACAGAGAAACAAAATAATTAAGGGCAAAGGAAAGAAATGAAATAATTTAGAAATTAAAGTCAAATCCAAGCACTCTGCCTCCTTATAAAGTAAAGGAGTAAATGTTCAAAGAAATTTGTGTGTTTTGACTTGTTTTAAATAAAACCATTGTATTTTAAAATGTTCAAGTTTTAAAGGGATTAGGATTTTTTAATGGTAGATCAACACCAAAATTCAGCAAATAATTATGGCTGAAAAAAATATTTAGGTTGACCTGAAGAAATATTCTGATATTGTGGGAAAGGAACCCTAGGATATAATTTTGGGTCATCTACCTTCAAAATATTCATTTTCTAGTTCAGCCATGAAACAAAAAACTACACAAACCAAATTTCTAGAAACATACCCCTTACAAACCTGTAAATAATCCCTGATTGCTTTCTCTAAGCTTTTTTCAATAGCTAAAAGCAGTATTTACAGCAATTGGGGGGTGGGGGAGGAGGAGTGAAGACTGAGAGGCTCAAAGAAAAACACAAACTTGATAGCATCAATGCAAAGGCTCAATAGTTTCAAACTTAACTTACTATCATACTTACTGATATAAGCACTAACTGTTAAAAAGTCCATTTATGGTATTCTACCCAAAACTATCTTATTTATTTATGTACTCCTCCATATGGCTTATATGCAATCATGTATTTTAGTAATTCATCACCAAGTTCCTGAACAGTAAATATTTGCTCCTCACTTATGTATCAGGAAAGAGTAGTAGAGTCAGTAAGATGGGAGTGGGAGTGGGAAATGTGGTGCAAAATACAGAGTTGCTAATGAAGATAAACAACTGAAGAGCTTGGAAAAAGACAGTACAAAGAGCAAAGTGGCAAATAATGAGCAGTGATCAACAATATAAAATATTTTTTTCATATACACTATAGCCATGATCTATCACATACCTTGCTGCTTTGTACTTTTCCAGTTGTAAAAAAAACCCCCTAAAACCAAAAAAAACCCAGCAGAGAGCACAATTGGAACAGAGCCAGAAAAGCTGGCTGTTACTGTCTTCTCCATCCTCCTGAAAAAATTGAGATGGAGCAGTTGACTGGAGGACAAGGCACAGCAGTTACCCAGAATGTTGCCCTATACTGGAGCAGTCACAGCAGCTCTCGTTCAAGTTTGCTCCAATTAGTGTTGAACTGAACTTGTGATGAGAACCTGAGAGCCATGCGTGTAGGTAACCCACCACCACTATGTCAAAAGAACCACATACAACAGAGAATTTCTCCTTCCTCACATGAAGACACAGACACTCACCCATACACCTGGAGAAGCATGAAATATGCATGTTGATCAGAGGAAAGATATAGAGCGCTAAGAAGAATACAAGAATCTGTATTTTCTGTTTTAAATACAGAAAAGCTTTATAAAATACACGCACTTTCTCATTGCAAAGAAGAAAGCTTTCAGGGCCATAGAGTCACAAGTTTAAAGGGATTTAAATAGTAATTGCTGATGCTTAGTACCTCTAAAACCCATCAATTGTGCATGTTGCAGTTTATGGGACATGAAGAAATATTTTCTGTTCCAAAATTTACAAATGTGTTTGACATATAACACTGGATGTTAAAACCTGCCAGGTTTACTGATACCCACACAAATATTGTATCATTGCCCCAGTCTGGGTTCTTCAGTTCAGAAGGCAGGCTGCAGTCTGGAGATAGGACTAGCTTTACTTCAGTTAAGAGGCAAAAACTAGTTAACAGGAAAAAAAGCATAAGCAATGTCACCTATTGAGCTAACATTTTGTATTCTGTGTATTAATAGCGTTAATACTAACAACCCAATATTCCTATTATTTATACAGTAATTTTACTCATTCCATTTAGCCAGATTATATTAGAAACTTCGAATAAGAAAACTGATTTTGTGGACAACTGGTTCACCTTCCCTAAAACTTACTGTGTATAAAGCACTGCAAGACATGAAATACATAAAGGGTAAAACAATAAACACATAAAATCACAAATGTCTGAAGAATGCAGACAGAACAAAAAGCATTTAAAAACATTTATAAGATACATTAAAGCATTAAGAACTGGGCTAGTAAGCCTAAATTAAATTCTTACCTGCATCAAACACATCAAGCAGATTCACTAACGTCTCAAAAGCTGCAAGGCGTACACTGCTGCCCTCATCTCTTGCCAGTTCTACTAACTCTGGAAGCACCACAGTTTTTGTTAGTTCTGTCCTGCAAAGTGAGGCAAGCAGTCAAGAGAAAACTTAGAATGAAACAATATTGCCACAGCAAAACAGAATTCTTCCTTGAAATACTAATTTAGATTTTTTGGGGGTAGTGAAGAAGGAAAAACTGACAAAGTTGTAAGGAAATGAAAATTAAACTAAAACCTCCAGTCTATCTCAGGACTTTTTTCTTTGTCAGCCAAAGAACCATGCACATTTAAAATGTGGAACTTCATCACTAAAAAAGCATTCAAATTAGCTCAAAATAAATCAGAGAAAATGCAGTCTGGAAAAACTCAAAGGAGCCCAGCTACTTCACTGTGTCAGTAAGAAAACTGTTCTGATCAATATGCAGAAAATTCTCAGTGCGATGGTCCAAAGCCAAAAATTATTAAATATCAGTCATGTTGGATTGAAGTGTCTGGAAATCTTATGCTTCAAAGATGAGACTTCTTTACAAAGGGTAAGCAACTACTGCTCAGAGAAAACACGGCTTCACAACTAGTCCAAACACTAGCTTTTAGGCTTGTTTTAAACTAGTAAAGAAAGGGTTCTGCTTGTCTCTTTTTGCCTTGGTAATTACTAGCACTGTCTGTATGTGTGACAGTCCTGACAACTTGAATCTATACATTGGCAGCAGATTGCTGTATTAGAGACATACTTAGAAATCAGAGTTTAATCAGAGAGATGACTAAGGAGGGATGAAATACTCTTGACACAGAAACATTTGCGCAGTAAGGTGACTGGCATAAGACAAAACGAGATTCGCTTCCTGGAGCAAAAGTATAGCTTCTGTAGAAGGTACCAACCAGCATAATTTCCCATGTCCCAGTGTATAACTGATTCTTGATTGCTTTAAGAAATTAGAAAGATCTTTCCTGCAGCCCTACTATCAACAAGAACTGGGAAGACATACCCAGTATTTCCACAATATTTTTTCTATCACGCCCATTTTTTTTATTTATAGTAGTCAAGGTTTCTAGTATTTGAATTTATCTGCATTTGAGTGAAGAAGCCCACTTTGTCCTGTTCTCATGTACAGCCTCTTGGTCTGCTTGTCAATTAGTGAAAGCTGTTGTAAGCACCATATCTCAAGAACAGGATCCCAGCAATTTATAATAGCCAGGGATCTGGCCCCCCACAATTATACTGCCCAAAACATAAAGCTGCAGGGAAACACTCTGACAAAATTACACTACATGAGCGTTAACCAAGACGACAAAATCAAAACTATGTTCGACACTGTGAGCGACTGTGTATGAAGAGTTTAGACTCTGTCATTTCAATCACAGGTTTTAATACATAACCGATCACAACCTCCAGGATGCCAGATTTTAACTGAAATAAAAATGCCCAAAATACCCCTTCCAATCAGACGAAACAAGTAACAGCTGTCCCTTTTTTAAATCAATATGAAAAATAATACTTTCAAACATTTATAATCAGCATCAGTGATTTGCGCCTTACAGAGTTTATTATTGTTACCAGCAAATCAAGATGTAGCTTAACAGTATTCTTCCAAAGAGATGATTAATCATTCATATAAAATTATGAGAAAATGACATGATAGCATTTAGTGGTAACATCACTAAATAGTAAAAATAAGCATTGGAGCTGTTGTCACATTATGCCTTCAACATTTACCTAAAAATGAGCTTATTTCTGTTTATTTAATTGCCTTCATTTTCCTACTACCTATTCATCCTCAACATGAAACACTGCAATAGTTTACATACTGAAAATACCAACAGTTCACCATTTCTTAAGAGATTAAAGCATCTAAATCATTGGGAAGGGACTAGGCAAACACCTCAGAGAGACAACAGTGTATATGGATACATTAATGCTAAAAATAAAAGTTGGGGAGGAATTAAATAAAGGAAAATATACAGAATGGACCACTAACTGATAACTCTGTATTTAGCCCTATTAAACCACTATTCTAAGGCTGGGTAAATGGCCAGTAATACCGTCATTTGCCACTGCATAATATCTAGGTTGTTTTAAGACTTTCAGCTCCCAGGTATAATAAATGCAACTAAGTTCATTTTAAAGACACTAAATAGAATGAAGAAAATTTTATTTCCTTTCCAAAATGGTCACTTGTTAGTATACGATATTGCTACCTTGTTACAAATGAAAACAACTTTTTTGCTTCTTCTTTCACACTGCTTAGTATATGTTGAACTGAAAAAGCATCTGGAGGAGGAGTGAGGAAAAAACCACAAATGCACACATTTAGTTCTTATTTTAACACCTGGCTGTACAAATACCTATCTTAAATGTAAAATAAAACTGCTGAAAGCAAATTCACACAGATTCACACAAACTGTGAGTGTTTCCAAGTGGTTACCAACAACAACATTTTCTGCTCCTCACTGAGCCACAAGGCAAGGAAATCTGTGCAGCTGTACATTCTTAAAACAAACAAAAAAATGTTTCAGTAATATCTGAAAGGAATATTCTCTAGCTATATGCATATCCTAGATAAGTTATTTTACTCAGAATAACACACTATTTAAAAAAAAATAAAAAAATTGCTGTATTATGTGTCACAAATAATTTTCAAAGCCAAATTCATATGATTACTTCTCAGCTCTTGACTATAGCAGAGGTTAACTAAGAAGGTTAGAGGAATCCATGGAAATGCAGATGGTATCTCAAATCAGACACCAAAAAAATCTCATGGGATTGAGCAATAACAAATAAGAAAAGAGGAAGGAGAGTGACTGAGATAAAAACATACGGCCTAGGAATGGTCAGGGGAGAGAAGGGTAGGACTACATCCTAAATCAAGACCCAGAAATTGGGGGCAGGCAGGGGTGGGGGAGAAATGCTTTGCAAATATGTTTCTGTGGCTTTCAATGCTGGTGGCATCAAAAATTTTCAAACTAATATGACAGTTAGAACCATCCCTCCCTTCAAAACTCAGTAGTTATGGAAATAAAAAAACCTGGTCACTCCCTGAAGATAAATAGAACCCTCTCTTTCACTCATCTTTAATCTCCCACTAAACAGAATTCAATTTTTAAGATACATAAAAATACATGAGATACATGCATACAATAAAAATAAATGCATGCGCAAAAAATCCAGTAATTCAGTTTAGTAAAATGAGTGTTAAATTTCCAGTTTTACAAATATCAACAATATCAACAAAAACTACATTTCTTTTCTGTAATCACAAGTTCTTTTAAATTTAAAGCCATTCAATATGGAAAATGTTAAAATGATTTACTGTGCTAACTTACATTTTGTTATAAAAGAAAATAAGTACAAAAACAAATGAGTAACTTCACTGAGATGAAGTTGATGAAGATGAATATTGTGTTTTCACATTATTCACATCCTCTCAACTTTTGCAGGACAAGGACCTTGCAGAAGAGATGCCTGAAGCACATATATAAAACTATTTTGTATGCAATAAAGACAAGTTTATCTAGGAATCTAAAAATTACTATCCTGCATGACCTTACCAAAACAAAGTTAAATTAAGTACATGGCAGTAATGCTTGGTTCTTGCTGTGAATATTCATTCCCTATATCCAAGTAAGCTAAAACACTGCCTGAACATAGACTTTTCCAGTATTCCATGGCTGAGAGGTAAATAGCATTGCTTCAGGAATTTCTGGTGTTTTGTTTTTGTTTTTGTTTTTTAAATAACTCAGAATCTAAAGCACAATATAATTCTCCATTAAAAAAAATAAATCGTTCCACAGCCACAGGAAGGCATCTTTTCCACAAACACCAGTACTAACAAACTGAAGTGCTTATTTACCATATCTTTCAAATTACATTTCAGTTTCAGCCTCATCCTTGAATTTACTCATAAATTCACAATTTTAAAAAGCCAGAGGGACTCTTAAGATCTAATCTATCCCTGCTGTGTAACACAGGGCAGGGAACCTTACTTGATAATTTCTTCAAGTCTGTAAGAGAAGCTACTGCTTTTTTGTCTTCCTGACACAATAACAGGTAGACAGACCTGGAATTTTAAAATATTTGTTCACTCAGAGACTAATCCTGTGTGGGTAGTTAACATGTTCTATTTATTAAAATAAAAGTTCCAGACTTTTTCTATTCCTAGATGCGCAACACTGAAGCTTAGAGTAAAAGTTGATACTGAACTGAAATTTGCTTACGAAACACATTTAGCATCCTTTTGCAAAAAAACTGCACAGTAATTATTAGAAACTGCTAATACTTGCATAATCCTCTTCCATTTTTAAATAAGCCCAATGACATCAATGGATAATTGAGATGATTTCAAGAAGCTATAGATGAACTCCTTATTTACAAAACCCTGTTGTTTGTATGGTTCAGCAATTTTACTATCAGAGAGAAACAAAACTCTGAAAATGGAAAACAGCCAACTGCCATCAGCCGATTCCTAAGAACACATCTGTACACTCCAAATTCATTACTGAGTATGAATGAATTAAGTTAGAAATCTTAAAAGCAGTTTTTAGGCTACCATTAAATAATTTAGAGACAGATCTTGCATTTAGAAGCAGTTAGGCAAATTGTACTCACCCTATTCCTTTAGCTATATGTTCCAGTTGCCGACACATGCAAGTTCTAACTTCATATTCCACATCCTGGCACAGTGATTTTACCAAGGGAAGAATCTCTCTTTTAATGCTAAAAACGTGAACATTTTTTATTACTATACAGAACAAGAATATATAAAATCCACTCTGTAGTACTCAAATTTTAACATACATTACTTCTAATGGCAATTTTTTTAAAACTAATTTATCACACATGGTAAATGATTGTTCTGAGAATTTGCAATTATAAAAGAATACTGTATGTCAGACACAAATATGTGCTATAAAGAAACAGAAAAGGGATTATTTATAGTCATTATAATTTGTTCTTATTTCATCTTCTTTTTTTTTAACTACAAAAATAGTAGGTAGGCTTAGAGATGCTGTCCTCATTTAATAACCATCTTCAGTATAATTTTTGAACAGCCACTGTAAGAATACAAAGAATTATATAAATGTAAGTGCAAATCCCAATTAAATGTCTCTAATACCTAATCTTTGGTATGCAAGTATTGCCAAAGAGGTATTTGGGAAGAAAGTAGAAAAATAATTTAAGATTAAAAGCTTCAGTACTGCAATGCCTTTATGCAAGTAGACCCAAGTATTCATGTTAAATCAATGGCAGATACAAAATAACTATTCTGAATTCTGTTTAAGTAAAAACACATACTACAACTTGGCAGAATCAGCCATTGTGTTTCCTTTCACTGCCCAAGATGCTGTCATGAGTACTCATAAAATATCTCTATCCAAATCCTTATGTTGTTGCAAAACTCAAGAGAAATGATATGAAGACATAGACAAGAAAATTTTCAAGCCAGCTTGCACAGCCTCCACTCATTCCAGTGAAAATTAATTTACTTCTTACAGAAAAATGTGGCCTCACATTTCAAAAAATTGTACAAAGTCTTGGGAGTTTGGCATTTTAGAATACTCTGAAGTAAGGACTACTTCCAAAAAAGACTTATTTTTAAGTAGCTGTTGGAACAGAGAGTAGAAAAAGTAATGTTCTATTCCAAGGTCCTGACTTTTTCAGTACTCTGTAAAATAACCTGGGAGTCGTGTGAAATACAAAAGAAAATTTTTTAATTATAGTATAAATTTTACAAGAAAAAATGGTGCCATTCCGAAGAAGAATGTGAAGATATGCTTATATATTGCCCACTCCTGAGGCCAGATACATCCCCTGAGCCTATACGAAGACCACTCCTGCAAGGGGAATGAGAGTGTGTCATGAATCTTACTCAGCCTGCCACATTCTGAACCTGTGGATCCAGGTCTGTTTTCAGCCCTCTGAACTGCACTCAGAGCCCTCTACTAGAGGATCAGTAAGTCCCAGAAAATTCTCAGCCATCTTCTTAACATCTACCTTCTGTACAGAAACGGCGCTACTATCTGTTCACTGAAATGAGGGGTTTCCTACTTCTGAACAGCAAGGAATGATATTAAAGAAACCCAACAAAAGAAGGTATGATTATTTAACTTATTATGGCTAACTCTATTATAATTGCTCATAAGATTCCAAGTAATCTGGATAGTCACTTTATTTTCATGAGAATGTAACATCAAATAAATAAAAGCAATTGTGATTCTGCCAAATCTACAAATTTTGAAGATAAAGATTTGAAGGCTTTGGTAACATTCTCAAAAAATACTACTTTATCATGTTCATTAACTTTTGCATGTCCAAGAAGTGTAGTCTACATAACAAATGAAGGTGTAGATAGCTTCCTTTTGGTTGCCTCTAGTTCTTTTTTAATGAAGAAAAAAATCATAATTTAAAGAAATTTATTCCTAAATGTCTTGTCATGGTCCTGTTGTTCATCTTTACCTCTCAATTCTTGCATTTTGGGGCAGATAAAAATCATTACTAGAGTGGAATTCCTTAGCTAGACGTGGTTTGTGTGCATTTAGTAGCCCTCGGTGGATTTCTTTTGCAATGCAAAATCACATGTGGCCAATTCTCTGGCTAGGAAACACATTTGGTGAAATGGTCATACTACTGTAAGACTGGGTAAACTGTCCAAGGAATGTACCATACCAACGGCTTTGGGCAGATAATTTATTCAGGTTTACTTTCATCATTGCTTCCCTTTTCTGCACTGCTGTCCAAACCCACAGACACTGAATCTAAGAGCTGGACAGTATCAGGCAACAACAGTGGCTCCTGATACATCTCCATATAACTAGGGATAGAAAAAAAATATATCTACATGTTAAATTTGGTTAGACAAATAAAAAGTTAGGAACAGGATTCTTCTCTTTATGTCAAGAAACTCTAAGATGATGAAGTTGTGTTTTGTCTCTGTAAATTGCAGAGAAATCCACTGTTTGGCTTTTTTCCTAGTAGGAAAAACAATATGGAAGAATGGCATGAAAATGGTAGCCATTTCAACCTGTGGAAGAACATACAAAGTGAAGTTATAAACTGATGAACATCAGCAAGTCTGAATATGCTAGTTATATAATGAACATTTTTTTATTAATTAATATCCAGATAAAGGGATCTGTAAAAAGAAAGCATTTAATTTTTGCAATAAAGTCTACTTTTCTTGTAGTAATTTTTGCCCACTAACAAAGAAACACTGGTGTATACTGTGGAATGAAAATATATGTAATGTCTACTTACATATGAGCTTCAAATTTGTTAGCTAATTTTCCCATGATTTTACAACTAACTAAGCGGGACTGAAGTGTTTGAGAAAGCTGTGCTTTGGAAACAAGTGGATTCAGGATCTGTATGAAAGAGAAAAGAAGAAATATGAACAGAAGAAATGTAAGCAGTAAATAATGCATTTCTCTTCTTAAAAAAAAATAAAAATCTAGAAAAACATATCCCAAATGTCATCTACCCCCTTCATGAAATTAATCATTACTAACAATAATGATGCCTATGTACATTAATAGTCTATTGGAAACCTGTATTTAAAATTCAGTGCTAATTATAGCATATTAAACCCATATCTTGGCCCAAATAGCATTTTATGATTCACATCACAGCCACAGTTTTACATTTGTCTACTTGTGTCTTTATTTTGAGACTAAGTTGTATATGAATATTTATAACTATTAGCTGGTAATTTTCACAAAAGTTGCTAAATACGTTTCTGCACAAGAAAAAAAAAATATGCAGAGAAAGGAAGAAGAATTCTCTCTGAGGTTCTCTCTCCTAAGTTTTCCCAGGAAACACCTCTTCTGATGTAAAGTATTGAGGCAACGATCCCTCTCGATTATGCATACTTTGGGAATCCGTAGGGAAGGGGTTTCATTTCCATACAGACACAGAAAACCTGCATCTTTATTGGAGCTCTGATGTCATTTGTTGTATCACCTCTGTGGTGCCAGAAACAAACAAAGGCCGGCAGAACATCATATTTAGATATCTTATTTTTTGCCCAGGAACAATCACAGAAATCCAGGTGGCAGGCTAAGATGAACATTACAGACAGGTATCTCCTGTAGTCTGCCACAGTTCCTGACTCAATCTCTTTTGCAGAGCTCCACAAAAGGATAATAGACAGGGCAGGGAAGTCCGACAATATTCTAAAAGCGTTTTTCTCCTACTCTTACCAGCTGAAATATTGAGGTGAGGGCATCTTACCACTGTAAGGACAAATAGGTCGCCCAGACTAGAATTAGTACATAAGGTATGCTTCTAACTATAACACTGCATAAAGAAACATATCATTAGTTATCTACAGAACTGTGTATTACTTGTTTGGTCTTTGAACTATGACAGCAAACACACTATGTCTTGTAACACTAACTCGAATTACTGATACAGACACAGTCTCCCCCGTGACGTGGCTGTTGCCAGAGATGGGATACTGGGTTAGGCTGAGCTTTGGTCTGAGACACACACCTTTCCTTATGTCCTTGGAATCTGAGATTGTCCTATGATTTTTACTTACAAAAAAAGTTAATAGCTAGAATATTCCAAGTTTTCTGATACAAAGATCCTTCAAGTAACACGAAAGGCCCCTTTTCAGATTCAGGTTTCTGTATAGCTGCTGAATCAACACTGCTTTATCAGTTGTGACCTTCCCAAAGAAAATTTTTGTGGAAACTTACAGATGTGTTCCTAGAGACAAATCAGGGGAGAAACTCCATCTTGTTTAGATGGCACCTTTAAAATTCCATTACAATTAGATTTTGGAGGTGACTAGAATAATTTCCCAGGGTTTTTTGTTTTTTTTTTTCCAAGATAACTTTTCACACATTAGAAGTTTATTTTTTAAACTGTGTTGGATTTCAATTACCCACTAATTTTAATGAGTATTTTTATACTATGCAAACAATCATATCTTTAAATCTTCATATTGTTTTAAATTATAAACATACTAAAATATGCCTGTTGCAAAGCTTTTAAACTTAACAATGAAATACAAAAACTTAAAACTGAATAAATTAGCTGAGTAAAGGTGAGTGACATTATGACTTAATGAAAGATTTCCTTCCTCTTTCTTGAGCTACACAGTGAAAAATTAAGAGTGTTTGCAAGCCATTAGGTTTTTGGTACATCAAGAACAACTGAAATACACAATGAAATGCATCTCTAGCTGTCCCATTTAGCAGAAATCAGAATTTTAGTCCAGTAGCAAACAAAATGTAGTTTCTTCATGAAGACACAGAATGAGACACTATGCTGTAAACCAAAACAGGATACATGAAAACATGTTACTTAGAATACTAACTGCAGTGGAAGTGTTACAGTAAGTAGTCTTTATTTGCTGAAGAACACTAAAATTTTTTAAGGTGACCTTCCTGTCTCGCCTTTTAGCACATTCCTCTCTTACAGTATGTTCCACAAGCATTACTGTTTTCACAGGCATAGAACTGCCACAAATCTTACTTAAGTAAATCAGACTTGCAGGGAAATACAATCTTAAAAATATTATGAATTTGTTGTTAGCATAAGTGGGAGAATATTATTACCTCATGTCTGATAGTCTCTTTTGGTAAAGCTTCTATTACAGCAAGAAGAGTTTCTAGCCATGCATTGCTGACACCTGTTAGAAAGAAATGGCTTATATCTTACGTTGTACATATATCGAGTATAGCAAAACACACATCAGTTTTACAAAATTAGTTCTCACTTTTTACAAGCACCTCTTCAAGGAGCTATGTATCTAAAAGCCACTAAATTAACATTCAAGACTTCAAACTAAGAAGTAGGATAGGTGAGAAGCAAATTCTGTCCCCATTTCTTTTACCTTTTCAATTCCTGTAGAAAAATAATAAAGATGCTGTTTGTTTTGGAAAGATAATTTCCCTCATTTAGAAGCATATTCTTTTCTTATGCCCACTGAAACTTTCTAGTTTTACAAGAGGCCATTTTTTTATTTCTTTGTATCCTAAAAATAGTGTCAAAGAAGTTAAGAAAAACTACTCATCGCAGAAGAAACGTCAACCATCCTCCCTCCATTTTCTCAGCTACTAAATTCTGGTACTTCAGTAGAAGCTTGTACTCAGTAACAACTTTGGGATTTAGTCCTTCAGACAAAGTGGTTTTGTCTGCTACATGCATGCTACAGCATGCAAAAATCTTTTCATTCATGCAAGTCTAGATACAAAGCCACAGTGATTGCACTCACTGCTTTACACAGTACTGTACAGTCACTAAGGAAACAAAACATACAGAAGTAATCAGTCATCAGTATAGTTGCACAGCCCTGACCTGCATCTCTGTGTTCCAGGTTCTGGAGAATGATGTGTAGGAAGGAGTGGGAGTACGTATGAATGGACACTGACTCCTCTTGCAGAACAGTCAAAAATGAAACAGCAGCTGTTAACTGCATTTCCACTCCTGCAACATGCAGCACCTCCTGTATAATTACAAATTATATCAATTCAGAGCATGAGGCTGAAATGTACTGAAAGAACACTCAAATTTTTACATTCACTTTTAAGAGTGAATGTGCAACAAACTGGGTAAACTACAAAATTGGCTATAAAATTATTTTCACTTAATAGCAATTACTTGGAGATATTAAAATCTCTTATATTATAGCATGAACCTTTTAAGAAAAAGTTAATTATAACATTTTTTGTGACTTTCAGTTTCATCAATGCATATGTGTGGATTTTTCTCCTTTACAAAATGAGAGGTAAAAACAGACCAGCCAATAATTGCACTTCTGCGGTTCATGCACATGAATTAAAAAGAAGTATTTCATTCATCCAGTGAGAGATATTAAAATAACAGAAGGCAATTTAAATTTCATCCCTTGCCAACTGACACAGTGCACAAATGAAAATGCATATATATATATACAGTCTTAAGAATAAAGCAAGATGTATTTATCTAGGTAACTCAGCGTTTACTAGTCCCTAGCTTTAAGATATAAGAATATAAATAATTAGGCTGTCTTTAAAAGCATCAATTCAAAAGTTAAAGATAATAGGGGAATGAAATATACTAATTTTTTTTAATGAAACAAAAAGGCAATTTAAATTTCACATTTATGCACATGCCAAATAGCTTGCAGGATGCAATCTATGACATAGCATTCATTCTATGTACATAGCTATCAGCTAGGTGAACTTTCCATTTGTTTACCTCACTAAGGGTATCTCTCTATCTCATGAGAAAATAAAGTGCATTATTGTCCTATTAAAGCATTAAACTCATTTTACAAGCGATTCCAAACTCAGTAAGAGTTTAAAGCCTATTTAACACTTCATATATGTGGTTTGTTTCTTTTTTTAAAGCGCTTGAGATGAACAGTGTTTTCTCAGATCATATACCAAAAATCAACAATAAGCTGATATTTTAATTTTTTAAAAATATCAGCCTAGACCAGATTAAGAAAATATCTATTAAGCACCTAAATATTATATAGCAGAGGAATTTTGCTAGGAAAATACAGTTTGCAGAGGACATCTGAGAAATTATTTAGTAGTCTTCCCTTACTTCAAAGTAGAACAAGAAGTTTTCATTACACAAATGTCAACCAGTTTGTGTGTGCAAATGCATAAATTTTACTTTATCTGATTTCAAAGAGAACCATTACTTATCTCTCAACAGCTGTCTCAGTTTACAGCCATGTATATTTGTAAAAGCATTCTTGCTCCCCCAAATGAAAAAAACAAACAGCACTGCGCAGTATACCAAAGTGTGATAAAATACTTGCATTCAATAGCCATGGAAACGTCCCTCTTGTTATCTCCACAGCCTGCCTCTGTCCTTGTTCCTCCATTATTATTACAACAGCCACAGCCAAGAATAAGGACACCTACCAATTTTTGTGTTTCTGGGATCAGAATACCTGTGGATACTGTTCTGGGATTCTGGCTTACACTTGTTCAGAAAATCATCCCTAAAATAATCAAAAGAACTATCTACACCCTCTAGATGCTAAGTCACCACTGTAGACCAGAAAATAATGGAGCCAAATTCAATTTTATGTACGTATTCACTTTGTACGCAATGCAAACAGGGTTACTTACCATCAAATAAAGTTCCCAAATAGTCTCTTCCACAGATCCACACAACTCTGGATAATCATGTGTGAGAACACGTTCTCTGGATGTGCCTCCTCATGGACCTCAGGAGACACTGAAATGTAAATTTCTAGATTGCTTACACACCTGCTGGCATCGATGTTTGCACTCAGAACTGTGCAGTTCCACATATGAAAATGTATGCGTCTCCTCATTCCAATTTCACTAAACTCAAGTTGAGTGATTTAAATTTACTTAATATAAACTTATTTATTTAGAAAGTAATGTATTTTTTTATACATGGATCCTCCACAGATTCTTACTCTGGAGGAAGAAAGCTTTTCCTGTCTATCTTGTTCAGACAAGCGTATTTAATGGAATTTAAGGGTATTAGCATGCTCTTGAACTATCCTCATGTCTACAAGTTAAACTCAGGCATCAAAACTTTCAAAATTTAGAAAGCCTGGCTTATTCTATTAATTGGAAAACAGAAAATTCTCCTCCAGTTTAATGCACTTTATGTCCTGCAGCAACAGAATTCTCTTGAAAGAATGCTGCAAGCAGAAACATTGTTTTAGTAACTGCATTGATATAACAGAAATCTCATTTAGGACTAGAAAGACACAGAAATAATGGAGACTACAGAAGCTCAGATACAATGATGATAGACCTTAAAATCAATGTTAGGTATAAGACAGGGTGAAAATCAACCCACCTCTTAAACTATAAAGTCAACTAGGGAAAAAAAAGAGCTTTCAAGGGGAGACTGATATATTAGGAAAATAAGTAACTGTGAAAATGAGTTTGGAACTAATCAGACAGCACCGAGTAAAGCTTGATGTATACACTTCAAGAAGAGTAGCCACATTTTTCTGCAATCACAGCATTTGGAAAAATGTCAGCTAGACACCTGCAATCTTCCTCCACTGCTTACGGTGGCAGTGCCGAAGGATGGAAAACAAGGAAAATACTACTAACATCATTTAAAAGGAACCATTTGGTGCACAAGAAATGCTGAGAAGAATGTCTAAGCTTTCACTAAATCTGCATTTCAATGACTTCCAAGGTTCATGAGGAGGTCCATGCAGAAATCCGGAGAGCGGGGATCTCTATGCAACAGAACCCATACAAGGATGACACTTCATTTTAACCGTAGAATATTGAAAAATATTTCATAATGTCATTCCTATGTTAACATCTAAATGATATACAATGTATTTGTTTTATTAGCATAACCAAAATACTGACACCCAATTTAATCATTACTTAGATCTGGCATATTTATTGACATATTGTATGCTTGATTTTGCTCACTTCAGACCTAAAACATGTATGTTAAATATATAAATGGTCTTTGATACAATTTTAATTTAATTAGGTTTTAAGGAATCATAAGTAATTTGCATATAACAATTTCTATATTTATTTATAAAAGTAACCAGTTTTATCAATTTCTCACAAGTGAAATAAAAATTTGTAATGTATCCAGCCAGAACATTCCTTGCATTTATTTCTTCCTCTATCTCTTTTATCCTCAGCTCTAATAAAAACAGTATTTATTTTTGCTTTGGATTTCTGCAAGTATGCTAAATAAGTACACTGGTTTACCTACCCAGTTATGTGGTGACAATACTTTCAGATAAATAGCACCATGAAATTACTACGCAACTCATTTTTCATGTGCAAATTTGAATTCACAAATTATTTTTCCAAATCTACAGAAGCAAAAGTAGTGCAGTAATTTAAGTCAGTTTATTTCCCTGCAATGCCAGACTACATTTGCAAGACTCTAATCTCAGTGGAGTTCAATTATGCCTTTATAGACTACAACAGTTTCCATTTAATGGTCAGGACTATTCCTCCAGTAAAAACAAGGATAAGAAAAAAAGAATAGGTCAAGTGGTTAATGATGCCTGTCGTGGTTTAACCCCAACCAGCAACTAAGCAACACGCAGCCGCTCACTCACTCCCCCCCACCCAGTGGGATGGGGGAGAGAATTGGGAAAAAGAAGTAAAACTCATGGGTTGAGATAAAAATGGTTTAATAGAACAGAAGAGAACTAATAAGGATAATGATAACACTAATAAAATGACAACAGTAATAATAAAAGGATTGAAATATACAAGTGATGCACAATGCAATTGCTCGCCACCTGCTGACCGATGCCCAGTTAGTCCCCGAGCAGTGATCCTGCCACCCCCACTCCCCCCAGTTTATATACTGGGGATGTCATCACATGGTATGGAATACCCCTTTGGCCAGTTTGGGTCAGCTGTCCTGGCTGTGTCCCCTCCCAACTTCTCGTGCCCCTCCAGCCTTCTTGCTGGCTGGGCATGAGAAGCTGAAAAATCCTTCACTTAGTCTAAACACTACTTGGCAACAACTGAAAACATCAGTGTGTTATCAACATTCTTCGCCTACTGAACTCAAACCATAGCACCGAACTAGCTACTAGGAAGACAGTTAACTCTATCCCAGACGAAACCAGGACAATGCCAAATACTGTTCTGCAGTGAACATGGGTACAACGGAACTGTTCTTCTATTACAGATCAAATAAATACTAGATAACAGAGCACCATTGAAGAACCTGCTTTATAAGAGTATAGACACAGAAAGAAATTTAATTCATATACATTCCAGAAAGTTTCAATTTATAAAGCTTAAACGAGAAAGAAACTCTTAGATTTAGACTGACCTCATTAAAATTTCACTCTTCTACCTCTGCCTTGAGCCCATTAACTTACGTTTCATTTAATTTATCATCTAGGAAGACATTCAGTTTGGATTTAAGTGACACTGCAAGATGAAAAACACACTACGTTTCTTGGTTATTTGCTCAAAGATTGATCAGATTTATTATTAGAACTGTCTACTTAATTTCTAGTATTTCTGTCTTCAGTTCCTAGCTCTTCTTTCTTCATACACTGTTTTCAGTTGAATGTCCTTTATTATTATGCAGGAAGATACTTTTACAAAGTAATTAAGTACTGCCTGATCTATATACACTGAGCTCCAACTCCCACTACACAAATATTTTCCAGGCCCTTGGCCCCGATCATGCTCATGATCATCCTTTTAATTTTTTTTCTCCATCTCCATATAAAAAGCTTAAGCCTAGAATCAGAAACTCTATTCCCATATTAGACCTTTTATTAAAGACAGAGAGGCAAAGACTACCATTTCTCCACATCCTGACAAATAAGGGTGAATAAACCACAGTGTTTCTTATTACTCCTTCATTTCAGGAAGAACACTACTCTCAAAGCAGAAACACAAGAGACAAAAATGGATTCAGCCTGTTAAACAGAAAATAATTTAAAAAAAATAAAGCAAAACTTTTCTTGAAGCCAATTGGTTGTTTTAGAAAAGAATAGATTACAGGTGTCAGAATAACATGTGGTAGTAACTGCAGAAACTTGGTGAAAATTTAAGGGTTTTCAATTAGTTTGCAACTTCAGATCACTCTTTTTCTCAAAACATTTTTTTATACAAATATATATATTTAAACAAAATGCCTATTGACCTGCATCTTATAGCACAAAACATGATAACTAGAAGTACTTCAATGTTTTCTAAACAATCAGTCAATCTATACTAGTCCTCAGTTCGGAGGACAGCTATTTCCTGGCCTTTTGTGGAATTTAAATAATCAGACAAAAGTTGGAACAGCTCTTAAGAAATAGGAGTCTCCTGGGATCACAGAATTTTCAGAAGATAATATTAAGTTGAAAGGTGATGTCTGATATTCACAGAATCACAGAATGGTTGAGGTTGGAATGGTCCTCTGGAGGTCATTTTGTCCAATCCCCCTGCTCAAGCAGGGCCACCTACAGCCAGAACATGTCCAGACAGCTTTTGAATACCTCCAAGGAGCAAGACAACAACCTCTATGGGCAACCTGTGCCAGTGCTCAGTCACCCTTACAGTGAAAAAGTGTTTCCTGATGTTCAGAGGGAACCTCCTGTGTTTCAGTTTGTGCCCACTGCCTCTGGTCCTGTCACTGGGTACCACTGAAAAGTGCCTGGCTCCATCCTCTTTCCATCTTCCCTTCAGGTATCTATATATGTTGATAAGATCCTCTCTAAGCCTCCTCTCCTGCAGATTGAACACTCAGCCCTCTCAGCCTTTCCTCTTCATGGCCCTTCATTGTACTCTCTTCAGTATGTCCATGTCTCATACTGGGGAGCCCAGAAGGGGACACAGCGCTCCAGGTCTAGTAGAGTATAAGGTGGAGTAGAGGGGAAGGATCACCTTCCTCGAACTGCTGGCAATGTTTTGTCTAATGCAGCCCAGGATGCTTTGCGGCAGGGCCACAGTGCTGGCTCACGTTCGACTTGGTGTCCACCAGGACCTCCACGTCCTTTTCTGCAAAACTGCTCTTCAGCTGGGTGGCCCCCAGCTTATATCGGTGCATGAAATATTACTGAGTACATCTACCGCATGGAACCTAAGACTCCTCTGCAGTAGGACTTGCATTTAAATATCCTACAGAAGAATATTTGCTAAGTAATCATGTTGAGGACTACATACATATTGGTTCCTCATCTTTCAGTCAATCAATTCATAACAAATGAGCAGAATATAACTCATCACATTAGTTTTTCACAAATACTGAATTGTCCCTTGAGCAGCCTCTTTCTTGAGATTAGGAGACAGAGGGACGATTCAGTTTAAGACCAATTCCACAGGCATAAGAAATACAACAAGTAGTTTTTAATAACATGATATTTTTTACGGAATTCTTTTATTAATGTCATGTTGAGGTAGCTGCCTTAAAAGTTAAAAAAAAGAAGCTGAGAGATATATATCCACACAGCTTTTCAATAAAAGAAGCAATTCATTTCTTCAAAATTTTACTAAAGAAAACAATTAAATATAAATGAGAATTTACCAGAACAAACAAGTATCATTTTTGCATGGACCCACTTTGCTATTTAGTAATCATCTCCTCAGCAGATAGAAAACTGTAAAACATAAGCATGTGACTCAGCCATCTCACCTTTGTTACTAACATAATTGTATACTTTCTTACACCTAGCAATGAGAATCTAATACAGATACAGCAAGAAAATTCACAGCAGCTACTACAGAAGACTTTTTTCTTCTCACCCCTAAAGTGCTCAAGATAGAGAGGACAATGTAGCCACAGAGATTCTTAACATAACTCAAACTTTCAATTCAATGTATTTTAGATCATCAAACTCATATTTAGCTTGAGTCAGTAACTAGTTAAACTCTTTCTGAAGCAAGTGATCTAAATACTCTTCTTAAGCATTAGTTGTTTACAACAAGAAAATAACATTCCTGTTGGCAAACTGTGTTAAAAAGGGAAAGAATTTTAAATTATATGGAGAAAAAAACCCTTAAATTCTACAAAGTGTCCTGCTAAAATCATAACTGAATCACACTACTGAAAATATCAAACATATCTCTAAAAATGTATGGGGAAACTGAATCTTTCCATAAAATTATGAACACAACTCAATGCTTTGAAAATAAAATTTCTACAAGAAACCCTTGTGATTTTTACCTCTCTCACCATAGAGAGCGCATACATTCAAACAGCTACTACAGCCAAACAGCTACTAACAAACACAATGTTCCTTTAGCTGACAATTTGTATAAATCAGAACCAGGTTTATATCAAAGTGATCGATTGCCTGAGACCAGGCCAGAGATGGTTCTAAATCAAAACTTTGATTTAATCAGATAAAAACTGTTAATGGTATCAGTAGAAGACTGACAATACACTGATCCGATGAAAAAAACCCTCAGAAATTTGCTGTTACCAAAATAACCTTTCAGATATTTTGATAGCCAAAACCAACGTATTTTTCCACTCAGGTGGTAGCCTTTAAAATCACTGAAAACCACTCAAACAGGCAGGCTAACATAATCAGTCCTAATTTCTGTTGTAGCCTTAAATAGAGTTATTAGAGTTTTTTGGAGTTATTTAGCTTTAGAGTTATTAGGCTTTGCACTTGCATTTGTGATGCAGTTGTTCTTATTTGGCTGAAGCTGCTCCTTAAACCACACCTTAAATGAACTTTTTAATTTCTTCTAGGCAAGCGGTCATAGGGGCAGAGTGGAAATACAGGGATATTTATCTTCCTTAAAGTCATACAATCATAGAATGGTTTGGGTTGGAAGGGACCTTTAAAGGTTGTCTAGTCCAACCCCCCTGCAATGAGCAGGGACATCTTCAACTAGATCAGGTTGCTCAGAGCTCCATCCAACCTGACCTTGAATGTTTCCAGGGATGAGGCATCTACAACCTCTCTGGGCAACCTGTGCCAGTGTCTCACACCCTCATCGTAAAAAATGTATTCCTTATATCTAGTCTAAATCTACTCTCTTTTAGTTTAAACCCATCACCCCTTGTCTTACCGCTACAGGCCCTACTAAAAAGCCTGTCCCCATCTTTCTTATAAGCACCCTTTAAGTACTGAAAGGCCACAATAAGGTCTCCCTGAAGCCTTCTCTTCTCGAGGTTAAACAACACAAATATCCTTTATACAAACATACCTGTATATAAAATTACTGTATAACATTATAGGGCCAGCATGCATCTACCACAGTTAGCAGTGGCTTACTAAAAATACGGAGGGCAGCATGTGAAACTTTGGACAGCTAAAAGCAAAGTATACTTTTCTGGATAGCAGCATGAAAATCTTAATGTTTGGATGGAAGAGACTGAGAACATTAAAATGAACCATCATGATTGGCTGGTCCTCAAAAAGACTTCTTAAAAAGTTGTCAAAGCACTGGTAAATCTTTAGAATACATAAATAGTATTAATTCTGCTTTCTTCTCCTGTTGTAACATTTTTCAAAAAATATAATACCTGCAATACTTCATAAATTCAGTGAATTAATGTGGAAGATCTACTGGACATACCGCTTCTAGAGAGTGAGTTTGCAATAAAACCGTGATTTTTTTGCCTTTGTTAAAATACTTACACTGTCAGAAAAATGTACATTCAAACCTCATTACACACAACTTACTCTGATTTTTGGTAAAACCCGACGAAGTGTTTCTGCAGGATTCTGTCGCATCAGGGCTGGAAGATTTGCCACCACACTCGTTCCTTGGATATCCTGGCCAGAACTTACAAAAATATATACGTACAATGCATTACTCTCTACAATGGTTATAAGCTCACAGCTTTCATTTAAAAAAAAAACAAAAAAAACCAAACCCACACTACCCAGGTCATTCATTTAATAAGTCAAGAGAGGCATTACTTTTTTTATATAATATGTAGCAGAAAACAACATTAAAAAATATCAACCATAAAAGCTGTTATGCATCATTTCTAATATGGAATGTTCTCATTTTTAGTATAGCTTTGGAAAAAAAATAGAAAATTTTTGAAACATCTTTTCACACTGGATGATCAAGGCAGTGGTTTTGTGGAAGCTTTTAAATTATAACAATACAAGTGATAAAACATAGGAAAGGGACATAGAAGATATAAATGAAAACTACACTCAACGTACAAAATTTTAACAGAAGTCTACCATTTTTTCCTTTTTGTGGGGAAAAGTCAGACTATAATCAGATGTATATTGACAAACATGATTAAAGAAGGATGCAAAAACTTGGTTAGATTACAGATCTTGTACCTTTCTGCTCATCCTGTCTCTCTCAATGGTATCCCACAATTGAAAAAGGGAAAAAAAAAAAAAAAAAAAAAAGGCAGGATGGGCGGGAAATGGTAGCCAGCAATGAAGAAAAGGCATGAGATGAAACAAAAACTACCCAAGTGGATAAACTTCTAGAACAGAATCAGAAACAGAAAGGGTCTGGATGCCAAAATTAAGAATAAAACTAAATACCAACACATCCTTTTTCCTGTTTAAATGCATAAAATCCATTTTGTTAAACAAATTCAGATCTGTTCCAACAGCTAGGCAGCTCATTTTTAAATAAGCACGCAAAGTCCTACTGCACACATGGAAGCATTCTTCTTAGTGTGACATTACAATTAAATGTACAATATGATTACACACATAATTTTAAAAGAAATTCATAGTAAAACTACTTTTAAATACTTCCATATACCACTCCCCATCCCATCATCATTCCAAGTTTTCTTAGTGAGACATATGAGCTCAGGAAGGGGACTAGGTACATAAATTGCTCACAGGACAGCAGATTTGCACAACCACCTTCCAGTTTTGTTCTGCCTCTGAAGTATATTGGGGAATTCACAGTTAAGATGCAAAGCCTTTCTGCACCATTTAGAGCTGAAAATATCTTTACACATTCCATTAACGCTCTACATCACCCTCAACATTCGTGTCTTTCAGAAAATCAAGTGAAACCATAGGTAGAGTCAACCAGGCCAATTTAGATCTATTTTGTTAAATGCATACAATGTGCTTTTAAAAATGAGGATATGTTTGTATAATAAGCAAGAGGCAAAAGTAAAAGCTTTGTTTAAAATCAACAGAAATACTGCAATTACTGTAATATCGTACTGCAAAGATTTTTTCTTTGCACTCAATAATCTCCCACTGAAAATATTCAACAATTAGGTATCACCAACATTAACTTAATTGTGTTTAGCAAACTGCAATTTCAGTGTATTTCACTATCCTCACAAAGATGATTTTCCATGTTAGAAGGCAGTACGTTCTGGAAGATTAAGTACAGGCTGTAAGGCAGGAATTCAGGAATTCAAATCCTCTTTGCAAGGTGAAGAGTCACACGCACCCCAGTTCACTTCTGTCTTAGGTTTCCATTCTGCAGACAGGTGCAATTACCTAACTCACCAACTACAAACTATCACTCTGTATAAGGGTCTTACACATGGGAAAACCTCTGCCCCAGCAAAACCTTCCCCTTCCAGAAAGAGTAAGTCTTGCTATGGCAGATATGTCTCATTTTTTTTGTACAGAATAACACAAAGTACCTGTAAGTTGAAAGTATGTGTCTAAAGCATATATGATGGAATTAACCTAATCTTAGATTGCGTGCGTCTGCCTCTAAGATAGTTTCCCTTTAAAAGCAATGGAGATAAATAGGACTCAATAAGAGCAATTTATCTCAGCCTAAATAGATGAGATGGACATTGCCCCTGAAGTGCCTGTTTCCCTCTACCGCCTATGAAGGCAGACACAAAGACCAGCTCTCCGGCATGTACCTGCATTGTAAATAAGCGATGGCTCCTGCCCACAGAAACACATTACAAGCCTTAGTCCTACAGGCATTCATGTTTATGCTTAACTTCACCATTGCAAGTCGACCCATTGATTTCTCACATAGTAATGTATTAGAATTATAGAATCATAGAATATCTCAAGTTGGAAGAGACCCATAAAGATGGTCGAGTCCAACTCCCTACTCCTTGCAGGACTACCTAAAACTAAACCGTATGACTAAGAGTGTCATCCAGATGCTCCTTGAACACTGACAGGCTTGGTGCCGTGACCACTTCCCTGGGGAGCCTGTTCCAGTGACCGACCACCCTCTCAGTGAAGAATCTTCTCCTAATGTCTAATCTGAACTTGAATTAACATCTTTAGAAATGCTTGTGTGATTATAGCACCTAATATAACTAATTTGGGGCAAAATAAAACATTCCTACTTCCCTGAGTTCCAGAGCAATCAAGAAGGATCCATCACAAATTCAGTCATGGCAGTAACTGTTCTAAACAGGTGCTACACACCATGAATGCCAAGAACCAGTATTTTTGGTTTTTTTTTAATGGTCATAGTTTAACTCCAGCCAGCAACTAAGCACCACGCAGCCACTCACTCACTTCCCCCCATCCAGTGGGATGGAGGAGAGAATCGGAAGGAAAAAGTAAAACTCACAGGTTGAGATAAGAACAGTTTAATAGAACAGAAAGAAATAAAATAATAATGATAACAATAATAATAATAAATGACAATTAAAAAAATGACAATAATAATAAAAGGATTGGAATATACAAAACAAGTGATGCACAATGCAATTGCTCACCACTCGCTGACCAATGCTCAGTTAGTTCCCAAGCAGCAATCCCGTCAGACCAACTCCCTCCAGTTTGTACAGTAGATGTGACATCTATTGGTATGGAATACCCCTTTGGCCACTTTGGGTCAGCTGTCCTGGCTGTGTCCCCTCCCAACTTCTCGTGCCCCTCCAGCCTTCTTGCTGGCTGGGCATGAGAAGCTGAAAAATCCTTCACTTAGTCTAAACACCACTTAGCAACAACTGAAAACATCAGCATGTTATCAACATTCTTCTCATACTGAATCCAAAACATAACACTATACCAGCTACTAGAAAGAAAATTAACTCTATCCCAGCTGAAACCAGGACAACCACATACACCTTAAATATTAGAAAGATAAGAACCCAAATAGAAGAGTATCATAAATTCTACAATGAGTAACAAGTGAGCAGAAACCTGTGAACACTGTACTGAGGTTATCACACATTGCTGTCATCAGGGCTGCAACATTCTGACCTGCTGAGCAAAATCTGGGAATCATTCTCAGAGTGGAGACTTTACCTTTACTGTGTCTATACATTTACAACAATAAAGAGCAAACAGAAATACAGCTGGGGAGGGAGCTCAACACAGAAGTAAAAAAAATACACTGAAATTCACAATATCAGAGTGTAATAACAAAAATATTAATTAAAAAAAACTCAACAGGCTAAAAACAAGACAAATTTAAGATACATAATTTCAAGGTCAAGAGGAAGAGGCTTGACAGAGGACAAAAACAATCACCATTTCCTGTATTTTTTGAATATGGGTTATCTTTTTCTCTTGGTATATACCTTACTTCAGGAATACAGAAAATTACTAAACCAATAATAATTTTTTTTAAATACAGTGTGTATTCCAACTGAGAAAATGTATCAGTATTTTTGTAGTTTTTTAATACTCTGTTAAGACTATTATTGATGTAAAATTAAGCTGATGTGATTTTCCTAAAAAGTATTAGGAGGCAATTTTCTGGCTGGTTACCATATAAAACTCTCTGTAAACACAAGAATGCTGACAAGTTTTAACAGGGCAAAGCTACACCAAAGCCCTTTTTAATGCCATTCAAAACCAGCAAGAATGGATGAGAGTACAGATTTTCAGACTGATTTTAATACTAGCATCCCTGCAATCTTATTTGGTAAACATGCATGAGCTCTCTCAATAAAAACATCTCCCAGTAACATCTAAACTCAGTGAAAGGACAGTATTCTCTCAACTACTGAAAATTGACTTAGATCAGTTATTAATCCTTAATTTATTGACAGCTTGCAATATTTTTGCATTATTCAAAACCATTTTATTATCTAATTTGAAGCCATGAATATTAAAACCTTTCATGTTTATGCCAGATTTCTCCAAGTATGACATACTAACTCCAACAAAGTTTTAAAGCAGAACTGAGAAATCTAGAGCTCCCAAAGTGGAAAAGGGTCACAGGATGGATAAGGCCCACAACTTCTTACAATACAACTTGCAAGGAAAAGATGCGTACCTTTGTATTATCCAGCAATAATGCAAAAGGTCAAGGTAACTTGGAGAAGCTATTTAATTGAAAATTTTATTCATTTTGTATCAGGATGGAAGAAATCCTAACTGCTAAAAAATGCAACCAAAATGCAACCTTTATCCATCAGAAATTTAAAGAAAAGGGGAGCGTTTCCCTTTAAACCAGAAATGCTTAGTATCTGGCTTGCTGCCAATTAAGAATGTGAAGCAGGAGGCATTTCAACACCTACACAGCCTGTAATTTTCCAACTGTGGAAGATTCTTCTTCTATTTCTACCAAAGGCACTGCACCATACATTTTCTTTAAATCTTAAAGACTTCAGGATTATAGTGAATTATTGCTAAATGCTCAGATTTAGACATTTTTGTACTAATAAATATATTAAAATAAATGCTGAATCTTCTCTTCAGAGTCACAGTAAGCCTAATGCAATCAAGGTGCTATTCCTTTATTAATAGTGCTAACTATAGAAGATCTCAACAGAGCCCTATACTTAGAAGCAATTTAGCTCAACCTCTTTTGTGCTAGCAAAATCCACATAGATAATATAATTTAAATATGAAACTTCAGGAGTCATCTTTTGAGTTCATGCTACAGGAGATCCCAATGAC